TGTTTGATCATCTGTATTTACGTTACCACCACTATTGGCATTTGACGACAAAAAAGTTCATAAGACATCTTATGGCAACGGGAATAAGCATGGTCCTTCAGACTGCTCAATCTATGATTTTTAGAGCCAGTTATAAAATCCTGACGAAATTCTTTCATCTGTTTTATACGCGATAAAAACATCTAACGTGTGGCAGCAAAATTCGAGGACGACTCCATCTTTTTGGTGGACTTTGAGCCATAAATTTGGAAAAGTTTCAGCCAGTCGGCCCGTCTTCCATTTGTTGACTGTTTCCACAGTTACAGACCGTTTTTTGGTGTTTAATTGGACATTTTCAATCCTTAAAAGGCGACAGTTTGACATTTTATTCCAGCCATTACTAAGTATAGACCTGGCACGCCGTAAATTTTTACACAAGGAGCCTAGTCACGAAATTTTTCTAGGCAAAAAAAATTCTTATGAAATTCTAGAGTTGTGTTCAGTTTCGACTTTATTAAGATTAACACAATTACACAAATATTTCGGTTTTATCATATATCAGGTCCCTAAAATATTTCTACTGCGTTTAAACGTGATATTATAGACCAAAATCACCCTGAATTTACATTTAAAATTAAGCAATAGCAGCCTTTAATGAAACTTTGAATGTGACATGCGCAATGTCAATGTTGTTAACCTGAATGACCAATCGTATGAGTTGTATGTTAAAATCATATTGCAATTTCCGACTAGGGCGTACGCGACTACCGAACCGTATTATGCTCACTGTTATATTCATAGACATCGTAGACTTGCATGATCGAGAAGCCAACTTTCATTTGCGATTGAAAATTTCGTGATATATTTTTTTGTATGAATATTCATGGTCGCCTGTCTTAACGACCGGCAGTACACTAAGGTCGCCTGTCAAAAAGGTTAAAGTCGCTGGTCAATGACCGATGACCGGCGCTATTTCCAGGCTTGCATGCCTTAAAACTATTGAACTTAAAACTAGTGAAGCTAGTAGAGGAAAAGAAAACCAAAATTCATTTTTAAACAAAGTCATGTCAGATAGGAGCGAAAGACTAAAACGCAGATATCAACATTATTATAATCTGACAGGTAATTATCATCATTCATGACTTAGTGATTTTTAATTAACGTCAAATTAATACCATCTTACCTATTGGCTTGAATTATTCAATACATCTTTAGCATCTAAAAATGATAAATATTACATTATTTCATGTTGAAAGAAATGCCATGATACAAGGGACAATATCTGACTTGTTTCAGCAAACAAAAAAGATAATCAAAGTTATTCAGCAGTAGCAAATAATGAGACATCATTAACAAGTCAATTTATGTAATTTAATTTTCTTTTTGATGAGAAACTTAAACATATTACAGGATATAAAGTGCTACAGAAGCTTCGTTGGATTTGAAATGTAGAACTAAATTGCAAATGGTTAACTTTATTTTCAGTTTCACCAAAATAGTTTCAGGGCTGTGTCAGGACAAGTTAATGAATTTATTCATCAATGACAATCAGAGATAGAACAATGTTAGTATTTCATACATCATTCACAGCACTTCGTAAACTAATTTGTCATAAAAGAAATAATCTAAATGTGGAATTAAAACTATACCTGTGTTGTACTTAACAAGTTATTGTATCAGGTGATACCAATACAGATGTATTTTCAATCCATAACATCAGTTATCGGTATCTGGAAAACAATCAGTTTGTAATTGAAGTACTCCAGTTTTCAAAAGGAATACTCGTGTGAATTAGCAATGAAAGTTTAGGATGAAATTGCATACATGTGTACAGGTCCGGAAAAAAAATCTGGAGATTTGCCTTGAAAAATCTGGAGATTGGGTGAAAAGTCGGGAGATTTTTCCAAAGCGCGTAAATTACGGATTTGAAACTCCAAATTGATTCTTTTTTCTTTAAATAAACTTTAAGCCTTGTAAATTAACTAAATTGATCATAGGCCTACATGACGCAGTTAAAATTAACAATCTATAATTATGGATTATTCTAGAAATAGTGCCTGATATTTCAAATTTAGGGGCCCAAAAAAAATTTGATATTATCATTTTTCAGTATTGATTGAATCCAAAATAATGTCAAGGTTAAATGATGTTTGAAAACAAGAAAGCAAGCATGATCCCAGCCGTCTAAATTAAATGGTACCGGTAGGCCTACATCATACATGTACCATATTAAAAATCAGTATGTTCTGAAAGCAATATATACTGGCAATGTTACTTTTTCCAAAGGTGTAATTCATCACATCTTAAATATCTCCAGTCCGATCATTAAATACTTTGCCTGCAACACTCTCACGAAGTATTGAATTGAATTTTCCGCTTCCATTTTGACGTTCTTCGGAATGGTAAGACTTGTAATAAGTAAGCCTGTTATGCAGGCAATCAAATGAATGTTTACAGGCTATAGTAAAATTACAAAACGATTTTATGAAACGAAATTTGAGTTTACATAAGAATTAGACATCCAGTCGCGTATGATAATCTACCGATAATGAAAAATAATTCTGAAACGACGTCTATGTTATATAGGCCTATTATAGACCTCGCAGATTGACACTGACGGTATAAAATACTGAGAAGACTTCAAGATTTCGTTTTTTAGTAAAAGTAGGGCTACCGTAAAATTTATTATAAAAGCGAAAGTAGAATCTACCGGATGTTGTTATAAAAAGTGTGTCATGTGGGCTTAAAATACACATTACAAGGTGAAAACAGATCAAATTACCATCTTAATTGGGGGATTAATTAATCGGGCAATGATAATATTATTACGTGTTGAGATTAACGCGTGTTACTGGCAATTAGGATACAAGTGATGATAGATATTTTGTTGATTTATGGTAGAGAATTTGAACATTGAAAACGGTAGGTCCCGTGAAAATTTGATCAGTTAAAAATACAAAAATCGGTAGGATCGGGTATCCCGCCAGTAGAGCGGTGGACAACATGCAAAAGTGATAGAAACCCGACAACATCGGTAGATTACACATGTATGAATTGTGCAATGCTTCAAGCATCTCTACTGGAGGTTAACAAGCTATAAACACATCAAATATGAACTTTAGTCAATACCCACGGATTCATGGCCATAAATCTATTTCAATGACCACTAAGTCAATCAAAACTGAATTGAAATAAATGACGTTGGCTATGTGAATTGTGAATGATACCATGCAAGTTGACCAGTAATGCCGTCAAATAAAGAGTATATAAATACATTCTACTGTGTCAGCCAAGTGAAAGACCAGTTTTCTTTCTTCAAAGATTTATACAGAATCTTTACTTTGTATCATCATCCACAGTAAAAAAAACCACCCAGATTTGTTTCACCAAAAAAGAACTTACTGAAATGATTAAGAGATACCAGGTTTTTGCCATGACCTCAACATTTTCATCGTGAATAAAAAAGGAATGTCAAAACCATTCATCATCTACATCTAGAAAGAAAGAAGTTAAATTAAACAATAAATTGAGTCATAGTGTAAATTAAATACACTTTGTTATAGCTTGCCTCAGGGTATAAATTTGCATCATCCACAAGTCACATAGCAAATATTCTTAAATTACATCATAAGCAAGCTGTATTCTATAAACCCTACGTTTAAACTTAATTTTGCAAATATATTTCGGATTCTGAGTTTCATTTTGCAGTTCCCATCATAAGTAGTGGTACTGGATATTTATCGTTCGGCAGAATTACATTAAATGATCACAAATGGCTTTCTAGCCATTTCGAACTTTTGTAATACCAGTTTATTCTAATAAAGCAATATGCCAATGATCTTGACCCGTGTCTGCGTTAGGCTTAGTAAATACTATTCCTGGTATAGGTTGAGACAATACATTGTATATTTCTACAAGGTTTCCTCCGTGTTAGACACAGGATAGTCAAAGACGATGATATTCCCACGTGGGCACACTTAAACCTCATTGAGAACGGCTGTGGACTTATCGTGAGCTATACTGCAGTGGCTGTGGACAATTATTAGAATCAGCTTAATTGAATAAGCAGGCCTCGAAGAAGAGTAGATTTTGTGTCGCTGTCCTGGCAACAGACACTGCATGAAAATGACCCACTTCTTCACCGACATCATGTCCAAGCCAAATAATCATTTCATATTTTCACCTCAATCTTAGAGAGAGAAGCGTGGCGATATCATTTAAAATAATACCCTCTCTGATTTATGTTGTACGCTTCTCTACCGTGATCAATGTTTAAGCCTAAGATGACCGCACATTTACAAAGACCTACCAACTTCTTCACTCCACAAGGTTCTGGAAAAATATAGTCAAAGCGGGAACGAGCACGTGGTGATGAGAAAAGTAATGCCTGGTTATCAAGTGCTTTTGTGTTCCTTCTATTAATAATATTTATGACAATCAAGTCTACAAATCGGTTACCTCTTCCGTTATTCTGGAAGAGGGTTTGAGAGTTATGATTTGTCGAAATCATGAAAAATATTAAACCGGTTTCCGAATGTCGGATCTGTGGCATGCTGGTTCCATTAAGATTTGATAATCAAAAGAAAGGTCTTATAAAAACCTAAAATAGGGGAACTACGCCTCACAAGAAGATCGATAAATAGGCTTTCTAGACATTTATCTTTATTTTTAGTCCACAAAAATTTTCTAGAAGGAATGTCACGTGGTAAAAATGTGCACTATTACGTACAAAATCTAAATTGTCATCAAATAAACTGAAACGTAAAAATAATAAATATAAAATGAACTATCAAAACAGCTTGCTATCAAATTGAATATAAGGAATCATAATAAAACAATCAACACGTCACTAAAATAAATCCCATTAACTCTTTAATTAACATACGAAAAGGGGATTCTAAAACTACGTACCGTTATTTTTCCTGCTGACGTGGATGAAAGGGAACTCCCCACAAGTAAAGGATTTCCACCAATGAAAATCGTCCAGCGTGTTGACGTCGACCAATGAAATGAAGCCACGAGTGTTGACGGAGAATAGATACGTCCACGCGTAAACTCACACCGGCAGACTTGACATTTCAACTAAAAAGGTTCAAACAGATTTGTAGTGAAATAATTTATCAGAAATCATACATTAAAGTATAACATCCAGAGAAAATATTGGTAAGTTTTGAAAAGATCTTCTACAATAATAATGCTATATATTTCGTGTTTGAAAAAATTTGGGAACTCGAACTGATACTGAAAGGTAGATTATCGTATTCATACTGCACGCCTTCTGTAATCAACTCAACGTGAACTTGTGATTGACACCAAGATTGTTCTAGAAAAGTATATCTCTTGTGTACTTTCAAAAAACATTCTACCCCACTACATTCATACCATGTCCTTTCATATTCATTTAATCTAACAGATGAAAAATGATATTTATGAATTGTCAAAATAAATTGTAGATCTAATAATGTAATTATGTTGAGGGAGTCTTATCCCACATTTAAGTTTGTCCAGTTCAGTTGATTTTTTGGTCTATTGAGAATGCAGGCCAATTTTTATGTTATCACAGATTAATCAAATGTCACTAATTAGTAATACATCCATACCATGCCTATTGGTGATGAAATACAGTGGTGATAGGTTACATGCTACAATATATTCTTTCTCTAATCTCTGAATTCTGGTTGCCTAGTCGAATTGGCTTTTTCCAGAAAAAAGAATTATCAATAGGTATTGAGCACATAAATATTGAGAGAGTAGCCCATTCATTTGAGAACTAGCTAAAGCCAGAACTTGCCGAAAGCATTTTTAGTTGTTTTTGATTTAATTGTGTAAGTCTAGCAGTAAGAAGGAAGAAAAGCTATTTTTATCCATCTTTTCTTTGAAAATGAAAGGATATTTTCTTGTGGGGGATGGTATCAATGCAATTTTGTCACTTTTTGAAATTAAAAATAGTAAAAATATTTAGTGGACTAGTGAACACGTTTTTGGCTGGTTGACATTTTCAATATTAGTGCTGATTACTTGCAAACATTCTGTTTCTTTATTATATTAATTTAAATCTATAATGGAATCTGACTATAATTTATATCTGGTAGTAGAGAATAATTAAGGTTGAATGATTTTAATTTGTTTTTTTTTTAAATCATTGGGTATAGAGTTAACAGCTGTTGTGAAAGGTCCATCTGTTCATAATAGGATTCATTCTGCATGGATGTTCGTTATAATTAACTTCCTTTCATGCACAATATACAAATTGTATTTCATTTATTTTATAATTTGTTTCTTTTCTTGTAGAAAATGAAGAAATTGTTTCTACCATTGTGTATAGCAGCACTGTTTATCAGTGCTGTAGTTTGTGATAATGATGATGAGGGTGACAAGAAAAAAGATAAAGATGCAGTTGGAACTGTTATTGGTATTGATTTAGGAACTACATATTCGTGGTAAGTAGTATCTTAGAAATTGGAATTAAATTCAGTTCTTCATAAGTCTACTGTTCATGATTTGTTTTTTAATTTTTAAACAATGCTTAGACCATCTGTTGTAGTTTACTAATACATTAACAATATTGATTAATAATTTTCTAGAATTATTAGAGTTACTCTATTTGGCATAATTTATCATAAGATCATTCTAGAAAATTCTGGACTCGAATACATAGTTAAGTGACTTAATTATCAATTTTCTTTTCAGTGTTGGTGTGTTTAAAAATGGCCGAGTTGAAATTATTGCTAATGATCAGGGTAACAGAATTACACCATCTTATGTTGCTTTTACTGAAGAAGGTGAAAGATTGATTGGTGATGCTGCTAAAAATCAACTGACATCGAATCCAGAAAATACCATCTTTGATGTTAAACGATTAATTGGTAGAAACTGGGATGATGCTTCAGTCCAGCATGATATTAAATACTACCCATTTAAAGTCATCCAAAAAAACAGCAAGCCACATATCAAGGCTAATGTCCAAGGAACTGATACTGTTTTTGCACCTGAAGAAATTTCTGCTATGGTACTTGGTAAAATGAAAGAAATTGCTGAAGCTTACTTGGGTAAATCTATTACTAATGCAGTTGTTACTGTACCAGCTTATTTCAATGATGCTCAACGTCAAGCTACTAAAGATGCTGGTAAAATTGCTGGTCTTAATGTTATGAGAATCATCAACGAACCGTAAGTGAACTTGCTTTTATAGTCTTTTATTCACTACATGGTTTTATTTTATTGAGTTCAATTTCTTGTTTTTTTTGGTCAATTGAATAGTCTTATTTTTTTTTTGAATCCTGAAATGATGGCGAACTTCTTTTCTTACATATTGTTTTCAATCTTTTACAGTACTGCTGCAGCTATTGCTTATGGTTTAGATAAGAAAGAAGGTGAAAAAAATATCTTAGTATTCGATTTAGGAGGTGGAACTTTCGATGTATCATTATTGACTATTGATAACGGTGTATTTGAAGTCGTTGCTACTAATGGTGATACTCATCTTGGTAAGTTATGGGAACAACATGATTTGGTACTTAAAAGATTTTGGAACTGAGAAAGCATTTTTACAGTTAGCTTGTCTTAAAAATCATTTTATGGCAATTAGTAAATAATCCAGGTGATTATTGACTAATTATTGGCGCTGTAGTATTTTTTTTTTTTTGAATACATCTTTTCAGAAGAACTTTAGAGCCAAGAATGCAAAACTTGACTTAGTATATTTATTTCTACAGGTGGAGAAGATTTTGATCAGAGAGTTATGGACCACTTCATTAAATTGTACAAGAAAAAGAAGGGTAAAGATATTAGAAAGGACAACAGAGCTGTACAGAAATTACGAAGAGAGGTAGAAAAAGCCAAGAGAACTTTATCATCCCAACATCAAGCTAGAATTGAAATTGAATCTTTATTTGAAGGAGAAGAATTCTCAGAAACTTTGACCAGAGCTAAATTCGAAGAATTGAACATGGTGAGTTGGTATTATCAAATTATTTCCCATCATGAACATGCACACTTACTTGTCCATCCACACTTTATTATGTAAACCTTAGCAAGGTGTTCTTGAAAGGAGTTAAATGTTTCCTGTTTGCACCTGCCAAAGAGGACTTTAAAATTGAATAAAGGACCTGTAAAATAAGAACTATGTCCGTATAAAAGTGGGATGATTGTGAATAAGAATCTTTGTTTTATTTGTAGGATTTATTCCGATCAACAATGAAGCCCGTCCAAAGAGTTATGGAAGATTCTGATCTGAAGAAAGATGAGATTGATGAAATTGTTCTTGTTGGTGGTTCTACTCGTATCCCTAAAATTCAACAGTTGGTCAAAGAATACTTTGGTGGAAAGGTATGTTTATTGAAATCTTCAATATCTTTTTTGTAGCGTTAGTGAATAAATACAATTCTATTATCACAGATTAGAAGCAGGAATAGTGTTAAAAGAAATTCTTCCAGCTATGAAGTATATTATTCAGCTTTGATAACCCATTGACAAACTTGTGTAATATATTGTAATTGATCATAAACTGTAAATATTTGAATTAACCACACTTTATGGTGTAATATTTATTAATTTACTGTTTTCAGGAACCAAATCGTGGTGTCAATCCTGACGAGGCTGTAGCTTATGGTGCTGCTGTACAGGCTGGTGTATTGAGTGGTGAAGAGGATACTGGTGATTTAGTCTTATTAGATGTCAATCCTTTAACTCTTGGTATTGAAACTGTTGGTGGTGTTATGACAAAACTTATCTCCAGAAATACTGTCATCCCAACCAAGAAATCTCAGATCTTCTCAACAGCTTCCGACAACCAACCCACTGTCACTATCTCTGTATTGGAAGGAGAACGTCCTATGGTCAAGGATAACCATTTATTGGGTAAATTTGATTTGACTGAAATCCCAGCTGCTCCTCGTGGTGTACCTCAAATTGAAGTAACATTTGAAATTGATGTCAATGGTATTTTGAGAGTATCAGCTGAAGATAAGGGTACTGGTAAAAAGAATGAAATTGTCATTAAGAACGATCAAAACAGACTTTCACCTGAAGATATTGAAAGAATGATCAATGATGCTGAAAAATACTCTGAAGATGACAAAAAGGTGAAGGAAAAAGTTGAAGCCAGAAATGAACTTGAAAGTTACGCTTATTCATTAAAAAATCAAGTGAATGACAAGGAGAAATTAGGAGCTAAATTAAGTACTGAAGATGTAGCTAAAATAAACGAGGCCTTAGAAGAAAAAATAAAGTGGATGGAAAGCAACCAAGACGCTGAAATTGAAGAATATAAAGAGCAAAAGAAAGAATTAGAAGCAGTTGTTAATCCTATTACTAGTAAACTTTATGAAGGTGCAGGAGGTGCTCCACCTCCAGAAGGTGAAGGAGAAGATGGTGAAGATCACGATGAATTGTGAGCGCTGTCTACTTTAGGTTTATTGACTATTTCATCATTGTTACATCTTTTTCATTTGGATAATAAGTTTCTGAAGTAATCCTTGTGTCAGCTATGTAAAGATATTTTTATCATGGTGTTCTGTGTTGTGAGGTGTGGTGAAATTGAAAAGTGTATTTTATTTAAAACAAGTAGTTACACTTTTCAATAGATAATTGACAACGTAGCTACAGATTGTTCTGTGTATAAGATGTTGATTTTTGAATTGATTTGGAGAAATTTTAATGTTATGACCAAATTTATCATCTATATTCTAGATTTTGATAGGAATTTTTGCACTTCTATTATGTATTGTTAGATGCACATGATTTCATCTCTAAGCATTAGAGGCACGTTTTATAGTCAAGTTAATGTTAAAAAATGTATTATTAAGGTAATACAGCTTTTCCACAGCAATCATGTGATATTTCTGAGAATATTTTAGTTGAATTGGATTGTATTTGTCATTTTCACATAGCTGACACTATTTCATTTCCTTGTCCAAGACTTATTACAAGCTTCAATAAGCTTTCCCACTTTTCATCCAAAATTCCATAGTTAAGTTAATCTGATATTCTAGTAGGTGTAAGTAAAGGTAGAGGAACTGAATGTAAATATCATATGTACATTATTTATGTATAGAATGTCAAATCTATAATTTCATTGTTTACTTGTTTTTGTTGTATGATTGAGTGAAAGTATTGTTTTATGAATGGGTGGAGAGACCAAAAAATTTAAAGAATTAAAAAAAAAATTGAATAACACATGACTTGCTTTACTTTTCTGTCTTGGTTGCACTGGTAGCTATACAGGATGTCTCACTTGGAGATTATGTAGACTTTCTATTGGGATTCAGTCTGATTTGATTAAATATGCCAGAATTTTTCATTGCTCTGATAATGAGAAACTGTCTTTCAAGTCCAGCTTTTGTCTGTCAAAATATAATCGTGTTGAGATATGTTTGCATGCCTTGGTCTGATTCATAACACCAGGAGTAGAGGGCTAGCTTTGTTAAAGTTTCTAGTTCTATTTAATCTACCGAAAATACAATGTGGATTGTATATACTTTGTCTATACTTTGTTGATGTTTCTCATCAAAGAGAACTGGATGATAGGGGCTAATATTCAAATTCAAGCCACTGAAGGTGCAAATCTGTCAGAACTAAGATATATTTCTAAAATTAAGATGTTTATTTACATATATACATACAAATAATGTCTGCAAACCAATAATAAGTATAATGTTTCCGTTTAAATTATTCTTCCATCACTACAAAATTTAAATGAATATGAAACAAGACAATTTACCACGGGCATTAAACCTGATTTATCAATCATAACAATATATACATTATAAACTTTAAAAACAGATATAAATAATCAAATTAACTAAAAATCAGACATGGTAGGTATTAAATACAAACCATCATTAATGTACCTATTAATCATTTAGCTCAAAGTCAGATAAAAACAGACTTTTACAACATAAACATAGATCACAAGAAGCCAAGTTAACTGATATACACATTTAAACCGCAATACAAAAACCTACCAAAATAATGAAGGATCCATGTATAAAAGCTATCATGGAACCTGTTAAAATAAAAAAGAATGACAAGCTAGGCATCTACAGAAGAGTAAGCACTTTCTGCACAGAGCACTGAGAAGCTTAAATAACAATAATTGATAAACCATCAAAATTCTAATTCAAATACCAAAATCATGTATGCACAAAAAACGGCAAAGAAGTTTCTAGAAATGTTACCCCATATGGAAATCATCAAAAAGCCTGACAGTACCAATAATTTTCATTCAAATAGACCTAATTCTAACCCATGTGAATAAAGAATCCAAAGACTTATAGAACAGGCTAGTAAAAACTAAATAAACTGATCTTCACTTATAAAAAAATAACTGATAAATTAGAACAAAATATTAATAATAACTTAAAATGTGGTTGTGAAGTAGATGATGTGGTAGTCTCTATTGAAAGAATGGGAATGAAATAAACAGTTATCAACAAGCTTAATATATCAAATGTATGATTTGAATCAGTAAAAAGTTATAAATTATTAAATATATGTCAAATTAGCTAATAATGATTAAAGATAATCACACATTCTTTAAGCACATCATAATAAAAAGAAACAAAGAAATAAATAACTATATATTTTTTTCTTACTATAGTCTTCCCTACTTCTGTATTGGAATATTATTGATAATCTTCAAATGACTAAGTGTTGTTAAAATATTAACGTGAGCACTCATTATTATGTTAAAAGTTCTATTTAGTTTTTTCAGTTAAATTTAATGAAAATAACTTCAAACTTTTATCAAATGCCAAGTCAATCTATAAATATTCACAACACTATTTTGAAGTTTTTGAATATCTGAAACCACATTTAAATATTCTTTCCATATTTATTAGTTTTGTTTGAGCATAGAATTGGTTAAAAGATAAATAAATATAAATTGAGGTATTAAATAGAACATTATTACAAATAACAGTATATAGTTGATATCACACTAATAGAACCTGATTTTTAGTAAGTACAGATAGGTTTCGTGGAACAAAGGTATCTGTGCACAACTGTTTCTGATTTAAAACATAAACATGAGCAATCTACTTTATTGTTTGCTAGAATAAATAGTATTAGTAACCATACAAAAATATCATGAACTGCAAGTGTTTATGTTTTGAATTGGACACATGAGTAACAATATCTTTGCTTAACTGTAGCTATAACAGTATATTTGTTTGTAAACAAATGGAGACAGGAAAAATCTTGTTAATTTGTAGTACCAATAGTATCATAAATTCAATATTTTGCTTGATTTAGAAAGTTAAGTCCCACATTTTACATTATCACACAACAATACTGATCTCAGGTTCAAAACACAGGTTCATAAAAGCAAAATGAAGTCATAGCACATGTTAACAACTATGCAAATTAGATCAGGTATCCACGCACTGCATAAACAAACAACATGCCATCCTTTAAAGTTGGCAACTCATTTAAAATTTTTGTTAAGCGCAAGGACATTTTGCAGAAATGTTTCAAAAGGCTAACCTAAAATATGAAGGCCCTACATAGAAAAAGTGCAAGAAATTTAAAGAAATAGAATCTATCACTGGGGATTATGTCATATGAAATTTGTTGCCAGATTAAATATTTGCCTCGTCAAAGCTTGGGTAATATTAAATCTGGCAACTTCATTTCATGTTACATAAGCTCTCGTTTAAGATCCTCTATATATAATACTGGACTTTAAAATGACTGGTAGTTTTAGAACTTAAAACTGAGGGAAATAAAGATATAATTGAGAATTGGGACAACTAAATATAATAGCTTATGAGTTATAAATAGGTAAAGGATGAGCTTCAGTATTAAAAACATATTTATCAAAAGATAAAAACAAAGGATCATCACTAAATAGAAGATATAGATATTTTAATGTTTCTGCCAAAAAGAAACTTTCCATTTTATCTTTAAAATTGGGCTTTAATGATTTGACATTATTAATAGAGGAATAGCCCATACTAGGAACTTTGGTATATTTTTCAAATGCCTGAAATATTATCCAGCCCCATTGTCTATATTTTTTATCACCAGTAATTCTATATAAATACAGTAAACTTTCTACAGTCTCTGGTCGTAATAAATTATGGGCATCCAAAGGCTGAAATAAAACAACAAAATTCAAATAACACTGATTTCAACTCAAAAATACTTGTTCCTATTTCAAATACAAAAATATCAAATTCATTACTTAGACTAGAACATTAATATGTTGTCAAACTTCATAGTTAGAGATAGAAAAAGGGTCATTTTGTGTTTAATGTTAAAATGGGTATAAAGCCAGTTGAAATCCATATTATGCAAGTGAGATATCTTCTTAATGTTAAAATGTGAGTTGCTACAAAGATATGAAGCCAAATGAGATAATTCAAATAAGAAGTGAGTAAGATTGTCAATTGTTCAACAGTTTGGTGCAGTGCCAGACGGTTTGAATTTCCCTGAAGTCAATGCTTTATAGAGATACTAATACTTATAGCCTTACCTTCACAATTAGATCTTCTGGAGCACCAGGTGCTAAATTAAAGTATGTTATTTCAGGACTTAGTTTAGTTGGCATTCTAGCATACATTTGAAAACAAGTATGCATTAATTCTTTGGCTAATTCTAGATGATCTTCCTTTAATCCAAAATATGTTCCTAAAGCTAGTGTACCAGGTAGGAAACAGGCAAGATGATCCTAAAAACAGAGGTCAAAACTTTGAGTTTTAATGTTACTTATAACTTCCACATGTACAGATTTGATCTCATCCAGTGGTTTTATGACGCTTTCTTTATTGTCAAATATTTTTTTTTAACTTCTCTAAATAACCAACATTGCAAAACAACAAACTGAATGGTGTTGAATGTTTCCTTAGCAATGACAAATAAAATGTAATGATCACAAAAATTGAATGAGAAGAAATTTACATATTGTCCTCCATAATAGTTGAGACTTAACACACTACATCAGTTAAAATACCTTAAGATACACTGCAATTTAGCTTATTAAAGTCCTCTGTTAAATTTGTTAAAAAATCTATAGATGTCAATAAACTTACCATTTTCGGACTAAAAGTTCTACCAGAGAGTAATTCACCAATAAATGTTAATTTACTAGGTTCTGATTTTCTTAGTAATTTATCTTTTACACCTTCTATAGATTCTATATAATCATCTTTATATCTATAAATAGGCAAAATAGAAGGTTTGAAATAAAAAAAAAACAATTTATAAAGCCAACACTTACAAATATACAAATTAAGAGTGTTACAATGCTTTTAGATCAATGCATTGTTTTTAGAGCAAGGCAAATTTCAAATCATATGTAAACTCTCCTAATATACTTACACTGAATTCTTTTTGCCTGTTTGTATCCATTGTTTTAATAAATATTCATAATAACTATCTCCTCTAGCCCCAAATGTGATAGTTGATGAAGGTCGGAAATTACCAGACTGTACGTTGATAAATATTGGTACCAGACCATTAGTTTTAGGTAGATTATGGAGATGTTCTGACACTTTACTGGCAACATCCTATTGAATTTAAACATATTTAACCATTTTATCATCCACTACAAAATTCTGTGATACAAATGGGTTTCTTCCAGCTTCATTCACCTAAGCTTTCAAAGCTTGGAGCAGTAAACATGGTGTTTTATCTACTGACTACATTTTTTTTAAGGAAAATTGTTTCTATTAAAAATGTGTCAAAACAAAGCAAATATCTAAGATTCGCAGTGAAATGGTAGCAAAAATTCATTCAATCCATGACAACTTGAATCTGGTTTTAATAAAATTTTATCTAAAAATAATCATATATTGGCTAAAAGTTTGATATCCAGATTTAAAGTCTTAAACCTTTTGTCCTTGTCATATCATCTGGAAGTGTTAATAAAAATATCATGAGTCGAAAAATAATCCTTCAAATTCATCAAGTTTACATAAGGGTGGTATATTATTAAAATTTTCAAATACATTGAAAACATAGTAAATAATATGGTACTAACTTCATATTTCTCATCACCAGTAACACGAGATAAATCACGAAACTCTAATTGTAAGGTTGAGATCTCAGATGTACTACTATCAGGTGACCAACTAGGAGAATGAGCCTTGCCAGTCTTTAAATTGACATCAGAATAAGGTACTTTAGAAGGTGTATTGAAACAAGGCATCAACTTATCACCTAGTAATTTCTGTAATAGAACAGAGAAATAAAGAATAGAGATAATATTACAAAGCTTACTGATATATTCAGACCTATTAAATATAAATATATTAATCCTAGTCTACAGATTAATCTCTCCAATTTTCAAGTTGTATGTCACCAAACAAAACATTTAAGAAGTAAGAATTGTGCAAGTCAAGAGATAAATTTGGCAACTTAAACCTTGTTAAAACAATTAAGACCAGAATATGCTACCTCAGCAATAAAAACTTGTCAAAAATCACAATTGCATTAATTTTTCACTTTTATTTTTGTCACTTATGTCATATAGCAGCAAGGCTCGGCAAAGAAAATTGCTGGTGCATCCAGAAGAACCAATCCTTATTTGAACACATCTTTAAATATATCAATATTACAACAGGTCTTTTTGACTTGAAGTGGGTAGATCATTCTGTATATTTAACATTTGAATACAATGTGAAAACTTACAGCTTTATCTCTGAATAATGTATCACCAGTTAAATGATATGTACTTAACAATCCACCTAGAGCTCTTATAGTTATCTCAAATAGATTAACAGATCTACTTTTATCAAATAATAACTCTTTCTCTACCCACTCTCTAGCTTCTTCAAACTCTAAAATAGACATTATTTCATTCAGGAGAAAATTCACAACTATATCACCATGGAAAAAATTGTTTTATTGTATCCAACACCTGCCATTTAAAGATAACTATGGAAAGTGTTGCATAGCAAAATGAGGTATTTTTCAATACTTTCATTGTAGGCCTATCTCTTTTAGTAGAATACCGGTATGTTATTAAAATTGTATAATGTATTTCTTTTATTAGAGTATGTTACTAAAATACTTTCATTGCATAATGTATTTCTTTTAGTAGAGTATGTTACTTTAATATTTTCATTGTATAATGTATTTCTTTTAGTAGAGTATGTTACTAAAATACTTTCATTGCATAATGTATTTCTTTTAGTAGAGTATGTTACTTTAATACTTTCATTGCATAATGTATTTCTTTTAGTAGAGTATGTTACTTTAATATTTTCATTGCATAATGTATTTCTTTTAGTAGAGTATGTTACTTTAATACTTTCATTGTATAATGTATTTCTTTTAGTAGAGTATGTTACTAAAATACTTTCATTGCATAATGTATTTCTTTTAGTAGAGTATGTTACTTTAATATTTTCATTGCATAATGTATTTCTTTTAGTAGAGTATGTTACTTTAATACTTTCATTGTATAATGTATTTCTTTTAGTAGAGTATGTTACTAAAATACTTTCATTGCATAATGTATTTCTTTTAGTAGAGTATGTTACTTTAATATTTTCATTGCATAATGTATTTCTTTTAGTAGAGTATGTTACTTAAATACTTTCATTGTATCTCTTTTAGTAGAGTATGTTACTTAAATACTTTCATTGTATCTCTTTAGTTGAGTATATTACTTAAATATTTTCATTGTATCTCTTTTAGTTGAGTATGTTACTAAAATATTTTCATTGTATCACAAACAACAATTGCACAAAAATAACTTACAGATTTTGACAGGTGCTGCTAAGACATTGATTAATTTCATATTGACTGAACAAATATGGCAGGAAATGAAATTGAAAATAGCAGGAAGCCAAGTTAGAAAAATTCTTTAATCAAATTGATTTCTCAACATTTTCAAAACCATTCAATCTCAGATAAAATATGTAGTTATTGTCACTTAAACTTCAAATAACTCAAATAAGGATCACTGAATTCTGAAAGGTTAAAAGTATTCAGAATTGACTCAATCATCCCTCAAAAAGATTGTGTCTTACCTTTCTTTAATCCAAGTATCACTAATGTATCTAAAGAGTCAACAATAGTTAATCCAATATCAAACCATGTACTATGTGATTTACTGATAGGTCGCAGTTCATCTTTACCCCAGGCATGAGTTTTGTAAGCTGTCCAGGCATCACGGAATGCCACAACCACTGCCTTTTGTTCTTCTGTTTCAGTTCTTTCTGTCAAATATAAAATCAAATCAAAATTGTTCATTTATAACATATTTTCAGCAAGCAATAAGTATAAAAATACTGTTTGATTAAAGCAGGAATACCTTAGATCTATCATCTGAATTAAATACAATATAACTACTAAAACAAATATTTTAACTCAAGGTAGCTATGAGTAATCATCTACACTATAGATGAGTATCTTAATCATACCTTTGAAAAAATCAAAATCAGAGACAAAGGGTTTGATAACTTCTTCTGCTTTAGCATCTTCAAATGGCTTCTCCTGAAATGTGGGATTTTAACATTCTGAAAAAGTTATCATAATATATTTAATGAAAAAATAAATAAAACACACATTTTCCTTGCTTAATTGTACATGGATTCATAAATTCTTTCAGTAGCTTATCAACTGATTGTTCATTATCCCTTGAACACTGAGCTCAGGTATATATCACGTAAATATGTGGCAGAGCTGCTACTAGTGATGAAAGGGTTCATTCTTTTTACACATATAACAGAATAATTCAACATGATTTCCATAGCTGTTCAAATGTTCAAATCAAAATCCAATTGTGTCATGTATTTTTAAAATAAGTAGTACAGGTTTTTTTAATATTCATCCTAATAGTTTCTTACTTGTACAACTGGTTTATCAACATTTCCAGTATCAACTGGTGGTTGTAAAACATCAGCTTTATTTTCAACATTTTCATGAGGTGGAACAATAGGTTTACCCATTTCAATTACATTTTTCTTTTCGTTTCGATTCACTTTAGCCTTAAAACAAATATCATACAATAAAATCAATTTTGAATTCTTTAAAAAAAATTCAATTAACAATAAAAATTGGTGTTAAAGAGGTCTATATAAACTGACTCTTTTTTATCTTTGAAGGGTAAAATTATTATGTGTGTGAATTTTTCAATATAGATCCAAATCCAAATGTTTAAGTTGTTCAAATTCTAGTTTTCGTCTCCAAGATTATACTCCAGACAAAAAAAAACATCAGAAGTTTTCAAAGAAGGAAGCACATTTAGTTATCATGTTTCCAAATACATTAATAGAAAAATCACTAAGATGTAGGAAAACATATTTTCATGCATCTTACAAATGAGGTTTTAACATCTAAAAGCAGAAACAAAAGGCAAGACTTTTCCCTAAATCAATATTGCTAAGCAGTTTGAACAAAGAATCAGTAATTATCTTATCATCTTTAAGACAATCCATTGATTCCTAGCTTTAATTTCATCAGAGCTTTCTATGATTAGTAACATTGGTTTGAAACAATTGGGGTTAGATGCTCTGTGAGCTTTTTAAGTTTACAAACCATGATATATTTCAACTGCTCTTTAGCCTTTCTCTGTAAGCTTTGAATTTTGTCTGCCTTGTCTCTTTCATATCTCATGTGATCATTTTGGCTTAGAATATCTGTGACTGGAATATTGAGTCTATTACGATTACCCACAAGATTTGCTTCTTCTATATTTTTGTAATCTGAATATATAGCAGGTACCACATAACCAGTACACACGAGTCCCAATATAGCCATCAAACATATACATGATCTCTGTAGTCTAGACAATCTTCTCCAGGTCTAAAAATCAAAGAAAAACATGTTCCTATAGTTTGAATGCAAACAATCTTATCAGGTATCATATTATGAGGAAAACAAACAAACCATATATTGATCAATTACTAAATGCCTTGGAAAGATATATCATATTATGATCTTAGAAATAACATTCAATCACGAAAATAGTTGTCTAAATATTTGTTTTAGTTATATAACTTTCCAGAATTAATTAATATTTTCACAAGTCAACAAAGATTATAAAGTGGTCTGCAGTCTTTGAGGCTATTGCCACTTCAATTAGGTCAATATGTGTGTGTATGAATGAATATAACTCATTATGCCTAGAATATCTATACATTATCTAATACTATCAATAGGCTACAATACAATACAAATCTTCATTTAATAACAAAATAATAAGAGGATAGAAAAAAATCTAGGATTACAGTGGTGTAACCTATTTTCGTGGATATAAGGATTCAACACCGAATTTCGTCAAAGTTAAAAAAACGAAATTTTTTTTTTATGTCTTAAATGTTTCCTCAGATATTCTACAAAATAATTAAAACTGGTTTGTTTCGATTTTCTTTATGAATTCTTCACTTTGACCCATATTTCATGAGCAACCAACTCGGCAACGGCGGCAGAATGCGTCACCTATTTTCGTGTACAATGTTTGAACTATAAATAAATCTAGAAAAACACGTTGTATTGATACCGGGTGGTATAATTAACTTCTCTTAGTATTTATCTTTAATATCAATTCATTATAACTAGTGACAATTCCTTCAAAGAACCACGATTTTAAAAAAAAAATAGTGACTGACAAAATAAGATACGTAGCGTGATTTATTGCTAAAAGTCACTGAAACTACATAAGAATATGGTCCACTTTGTGTTCCATAGAAATTTTCTGCTTACACGGAATCCGCTACTTGATCACGTGACTTCATTCATTGGACTACATTCTAGCAGACGACACTTGGAATTCAGATTACGGCTAGGGATTATAAGGAAATTCGGCCGATAAAAAATAGTGACGTTTGGTAATAACTGAAATCCGCCATTTTGTATTTGTCAAAGTATACATTAATACATTTTACCTTGCTTGAAACTACTGGATTCATTCTACTAGCTGATATTGTAGAGAAAACCCATGTTTATTAAAACAAACTAATGCGAAGGTCGCGCAAGGTCGCTCATGTAAATTATTAATCCTTTCTGGAAATCCACGAATAATAGGTTTCCACGAAATTAGGTTACTCGACTGTATATAAGGCACTAGTTCATATAACAGATATGAATAAAATAATATCATCGAAGATATCCTTCTTTATATTTGATTTTGATTGACAGCAGATCTGAATGACATTTTCACAATAGATATTAAAGCCAGATAAGGCGGACATATTATCAAAATTGTCATGAACCATTCATGTCAATGTTCTTTGAGAATATATAATGATCTGTAAAAAAAATGTGTATTCAAAACCACAAACCCTTATGATTGATTTCCTTTTAGATTTGTTGCTATCATATTGTTGCACAGGGTCAAATCCCAAATTTATGGAAAGATGCTCTTTCCTGTATGAAGAAGACATCACGACAAAACTATTGGTACATCTGTGTAGCTGTATTTGTTTATTTCATGTGGCACAAATCTGAACATTCACTAAAGCCGGCCATTTTGCTTATTTTCATATGTCGTAAAAGTTATATACAACATTTATTTACACTATACAAATGTTTTAGATCTTCTTCTGTATTTCATTTATGTTCTGTGTTGAAAACAAATATTTTTGATAATATTTTTGGGGTTTTGATAGATATCAGAAAAATTGAATAAAATGGCGACAAACAATAATAGGCTCTCAAAAGCTGAAATCCTGTAAACAAAAAAAATGCAATAAAACCATAAAATATAATAATATTCACAATATGTAAATATCGATGACGTGGTAGGCCCAATCGTATTCAGATAGGACGACTATTTTGGTGTTGATTTTAGAATACCAATTCAAATGGTGCTTGTATTTTACTTTTTGTTTCGTTTTTCTTATGATAATCAAGTCAATAATTGTACAATGCCAAAATTGGAAACTTTTTGCTGCAGCAACGTGTTCGACTTTATTGTGATGATTGTTTTAGTAATTTTCAACTATTTTGAACTATATCTGTAATCGATCAGTAGCTGATACATATTACAGTAGGTCAACCAGCTGACATGCTTGATTTCGTGTAATCAGCGGGAATGTTGACAAATGGAAAGACTCAAGGACTAAAGAGTTGCCTCCTCCTTGCCTTGGACTGCCCCATTTTACATTAAATAAAATTAAATGATCAACTACCGGATTTCGTGTCAGCAGAAAATATCTATGGAACACAAAGTGGACCATATTCTTATGTTGTTTCAGAGACTTTTATCAATAAATCACGCTACGTATCTTATATTGTCAGTCACTATTTTTTTTTTAAATCGTGGTTCTTTCAAGGAATTGTCACTAGTTATAATGAATTGATATTAAAGATAAATACTAAGAGAAGTTAATTATACCACCCGGTATCCATACAACGTGGTTTTCTAGACTTATTTATAGTTCAAACATTGTACACGAAAATAGGTGACGCCCTCTGACGCCGTTGCCGAGTTGGTTGCTCATGAAATATGGGTCAAAGTGAAGGATTCATAAAGAAAATCGAAATAAACCAATTTTAATTATTTTGTAGAATATCTGAGGAAACATCTAAGACATAAAAATTTTTTTTTGTTTTTTTAATTTTGACGAAATTCGGTGTTGAATCCTTATATCCACGAAAATAGGTTACACCACTGTATATCTCTGATTCTCTGTCAAGCCAAGCCCAAGGTCTAAACTTTTTCACAAGAATCTTGTAAAATGACCATTCACTTTTTAGATTCTGCTTCGAAGATGCTATTTGTCTTTTTTTTTGCAAATATCTTCAGTTTTGGTGTCAAATAGGTTGGAAAGAGACTGCAAGGAGGGACATCTTTGTATGATAGATTATGTCAATACAGAATAAGCTTACTCTTTTTACATATATGATTGTTGGAAGAGACTTCAAAGACTGAAATGTAATCACAGCGCATCCGGGATGTAAACAATACCAAAAACTGTGGCCAACCCTTAGCTTAACCCTAGAATAAGTCAATTAAGTAACTTAATAACTACGGTAGTAAATCATTCAAAAAGTTATAAAAAAAAGCGTGTGGTATCATTTCAGATGGCACATACATAGTGAGAGAGTTGATCACTCTTCCTAATCTCAATTCTTTCGATCTCCACTATCAAAGATGTTGAGAGATCAGTAACATGCACCACCTGTATTCTGTTAATAGTACTCAGGGCCTCCATTCATTGTCCTATTCAAAAGACTAGATTCTCCAATGCTAGACCCTCCAACCTGGATCCCTGGAAATACCACATCGAAACATCAAAAGAAACCCTTACAAACCATTGCCACTAAAATCTGTTCAGTGCATCAAATGATATGGTCATGAAATTTATGTATTTTATCCACCCTGGTTCTTCTACATTGTTGCTCAGTAAGATATGCTTTCATTAATATATATCTACATTAGACCCTTTAATTGAGGATTCTTTATTTGTTCTAGATATTGAATATGATCATTGAAAATGAAGAAAACAGAGCCAGCTTTACCCACCAAGAAATGTTTACCTTTTGGATGGGTGGTGAAGACATCTAAAACATACCCTGATAGAGTGTACTATTTTAATACTAGAACAAACGCCTCCTCATGGGAGCAACCTACATTAGTTTCACAGGTAAGTAATGCATTCTGGAAATTTGTTGGTGAATTCAATGAGGAATTCTAAAGAATGATTATAGTTGGCTTTGATGTCTGATTTTATTTCAAATATTTATAACTTACCATTGCGAAATAAAGTCACATAATGTCCATCATAATAATTGAATTGTTCTGATTGTGAGATATTTATGAGTTTCAAAGTAATTTTAAGACAATAGATGATATCATGTTATGGTAAAACAAATATATATATGTTTTGATTGTAGAAAGAATATCTAGCCTCGATTCCTGCTGATGAATTGAATAAGAGACTTCGAAAGTCTAGTGTAGTCCCCATTACACCAACTAAAAACTCCAGATCTCCTAAAAATAGTCAAGGTAGTTCTGGTCTTGGTGATGAAGAATTTTCACCATCATACACTGATTCTGATGGACCAAGTCAAAGTGATACAGATGCTGAAGAACCATCTTTGACTGATTTTCAGAAAAAAATTCTAGAAAAGGAAGAGGAAGAATCTGATTTAGAAGATAAAACTAGTGAACAGGAATTTCAAGATAAAACTAAACAGCTAAAAGCAGAAAACGATTGTAAGTTTATTGTGTTCAATAGTATAGGAAAAAGTGGCAGTGACACTGATTCTAAAACTTCCAGAAAACGCCCCAAAACGTTTAGTGTGGCCAATGCACTGAGTTCAATTAGAGGTAACTATAGTGATGATTCTAGTATTCATTCTAGTCCACAGAAAGTGAATCTGATACCAAGAAGACCTCAAAAGCGAAAATTAGATAATGACTTATCTAGTCATCCTTCAAATAGTTTGACATTCTCAGTGTGTGGTACATTAAACAATCTAAGAGAACAAAACTCACATGAACACTTCTCACCTAAACCAAAGAAAAAATACTCACCTATCAAATTTGACCTGAAAACTCATCAAAACTCATCAAACTTAGACAGTGTTCACATTCCATCCAATACTTCACTATCAAGATTAAACTGTAAACTTAAACTAGGACAGTGTTCAGGAGATGATGTAACACTCAAAAGAACTGTGATTAATCAGTCTGAATCTAACACTGAGTCAAGGAGACATGTACAAGACATAGATATTGTCAAACATTTACAAGTGTATATTCAAGATAAATGTGAGAGCAAAATAGAACCACCAGATAAACGTCAAGTTCTATCAGAAAGTGATCTACGTTTGAAATTAATCAAGAAAAAAGATGGAAGTGAACATGAAAATAGTGAAAATTCAGGTCTTCCTGCACCAAAGAAACATCAGATTCAAAATTGGATAAATAGTATCTCTGAAACTGAAGCGTTACCTACTGACTTCCCACCTAGTCCTGTATCTAAAACATCTAGTAAGTCTGATGATTCCACTATGATGACTGGTAGTAAAGATAGACGAGTTATATTAACATCTGACCAGCCTACAGATAGTGGTTATTCTTCTAGTAGTATAACAACTACAATACAACCTACACCATTACTGATACCCTCAATAATAGGTATAGTATTATTGTATTCATCACCAGTTGATCAGGACCAAAATGAATATTGACATAACATTGACAGATGAACTACTTATAACTGTGGAGCCTTGAAACTATCCTACCTTCCTTGATATTAATCCTGATTTTACCTTTAAAAAAAGCATGAACATTCTTTAGTGTTGATCTTTGAAAAAACTGGAGATTTAAATGTTACTGTCAATGACATAATGGTACATAATGTCATTTTTGTGGTTTATGTTACACGACATTGGTTATGGGTCCTTATTTTACTCATTGTCCCAGACTACCTAGTGTAAAATGGTCTGGGAATGACCATGCTATTGGTTTGGCTAAGAACCATCTGGTAGAATTTTGTTGTTAAACTTGAAAAATACATTTGTTTCTTTTATAATGTCAAAATGTAAAACACACATAAATCAGATCACTATACTTTCCATAAAAATAAATAATGTACAATTCTTGAGATATTACCTGTATTAAAGGTATTGATAGTCATGTTGGACCAGAAACACCAGTAACTCTAGGTGAAGATGAAGAGGAAGAGATGGAAATAGATGAAGAAGAAGAAGAAATGATGATAGTTGATGTAAGAATTGTAACATAGCTTTCAATATAATCTCACTCAGTGACCAGATGTAAATAATGAACTATTATAGATTTATTATGTCAACATGTTTAAATTGTTAGTGTTCCAGTGTGGCAGTAATTATGCAAACTTATTTTCAAGACAAGTTTTGGATCTTGAAATGAGATAAAGAAGAAAAGATCTCATGTTATATGTTTTGTTATTTTCTCTTTCACAGCTTCAAGAAGTAAGAGGTGAAGTTAGTGCTATTCCTGAACTGGTAAGATGTTATTATTTATATCAAGAACTGTAAATAACAATAAATAAATATGAATTTTTGATTTTATGGTAGAAGGCAGGCTCAAGAGGCCTGAGATTATCAAAATTTTCTAAAATACAAGATCATAAATATAAGATTAACATAGCTAATTTTTTTTATATAACAAAAAGAATGATTGAAAAGTGTATTCTTATACAAAGTATACTTTAAGTTGAAGAAGAAAGGTAGAATTCTCAAATTATTTTACCCCTCATCCTATTATATCTATCTATATCCATTAAAATATTTGACATCCAAATGTCTTATTCTGTTTCTGTGTAGGCTATTGGTACATTAACAAAACTAGATAGTAGTGAGTGTCAGAAAGTACAAGAAGGACATAAAGATGGGTTATTTATAATAATTGATACTAATATACTGGTACAGAGTTTGAAATTTCTACAGAATTTAACAGAAACTATAATAACAGGTTAGTAGAAATTAACTGTTTTGATTGTGTTCGATTCCTCGCTGGCTACAATATGAGGCAATTTTAATATAAGATATGATAAACTGTACTAAATCTTCAGTATTATATAATGCCACAGTATGTCAGGTGCCAAAAATGCTAGTTCAATTCAAATTCAAAATCGAATCTTTGAATCTTTTGTATGACCTATGGATAAGTCAAAACATTGAAGGTGTGCAACATTGTTCTTATGATACTTTTTCATCACCATGGTATCAGAACTTTTTTTTTTATTGAAAAACATTATGATTTATTGATTATCTATTCAGATTTTGGTTTACCATTTATTGTTATACCATGGGTAGTAATGCAAGAATTAGATTTTATTAAAGATGGTAAATCAAAACATACTGTGGTAAGTGTACTGTATTTATTGTTAGTTATGGACTAATGGAATTGAATATAAAATAGATAATTTCATCTCCTTCTCAAATTTTCTGATTATTGATATGAGATATTTGAGATAGCCAGTCAAATCAGTTTTGTTTATTTTAGAGTCAAGTAACCAAGTTTCAAGCAATGAAAGCAGTAAAATTTCTGTATTCTTGTTTACAAAATAAACATCCTAGAGTATTGGGGCAAACAGCTTCAGATGTAAGTAGTTTGTGAGATTTTTAACTCATTACAAATGTACATGTGTTTTTCTGAACAGAGCTGTAATCAAACTGACAAGGGATTTATTTATATACAAAATGTAGAACAATCAAAAATGTCCTAATAAGATGGTTGCAAATTTCGTATTGCCAACATAAATTTTCATGATATTAATTATTAATTAATCTTATCTATTTATATATACTGAATACTGATATATTTACAGTCTCGACATGTTCTAGATAATTTAACTATAGAATGTAATGATGATAGAGTTTTACAGTGTTGTTTTTCATATACACATAAATGTAAGTATAGAAAAAACAACTCTTTCTCACTCTTCCATACCACCAATTTGAAAAGACAAGTCATCAGAGCCCTAGTGACATTGTTTTTTTGTCTACATGGTGTTGAAATTAAATGTCAAATTCTCTCAGTTGAAACTTGTCTTTGTTATTATAGATCCTAATGGAAACATAGTACTATTGTCTGATGACTTCAACTTATGTAATAAAGCCACAATATCAGATGTTTCAGCGTTCACCAAAAATGTAAGTTACAATAATCTTTGCTTAGAATCAGGCACACTTTATATATTTATAGTGATGATATAAGAACATCAAATGGGATAGAATAGTTGCAGAGCGAAGGTAAAAACACTTGTCCACCAAAAAACTAAGATTTACAAACATACTGATCAACTGAATTGATTTCTTTAATATCTAACAATGAAGTTTGGTATCAGAAAAAAACTGTTTATAGTTAACTGTGGCCCTTTACTTTATGATTTAGGATTTATTCACTGGTTTAGCTGTATTGAATGGAAATGTTGAAAGTAAACCTGTGACTAAGAGTATACAGAAAGGTAAGAGAAAGTATCCTCTAGTTAGGGTATGTAAGACTGTTTTGAATTTTATTCACCCTCTTCCTCCAGAGGTATACCATCAGTGGTTTCGAAAAGAGTAAACATGATCTCAACTTAGTGTATCACTCTTTAGAATCAAAATCTTACATCCAATTCCACTGCAATTTATACATTTTATGGTTTCGTTAAGTCCTTAGCAAAATCAACATCCTCATTATATTGGTAATAACTGCATGCCAGAATATTATTAACGGTCTAAAAGTGCTATGGATAGTTAAGATTGAGATTTAATCAATTGAAAAAGCAAATATTTAGATGACTTTATCCCCAGTGTAACTGTGTTATGTTATTTTAATTATAGATGTACAGTATAAGAAGACAATTGCTAATAAAAATACTAAACCTATAATAGAAACTGTTGTACATAAACCTTCACATAAAACATCAGTTAAAACAATACCTAAACAACAGTATAATGAAAGAAAACTGGTATTTACATTTGATTTGTTATAAGAAATACTATCAATTTATATTCTCTTACTTTTCATCTATATATTGATGCAATTGATGATCTTGCCCTTTTTATAGGCCCAATGAATTTGCTAGTGATCACTCTAGAATCGTTACAGAATCTTTTTGAAATTATTACTTATTACTTATTGATGAAATTAAAAAATTGACTAGTATTTTACATGAGTTATGCTTTTCGAAACAATTAAAAGTGGGTATATATATTTTGAAAACAGTTTGATCTTGTTGTGAGTAAGTCTTTAGACCAGACTAGTAAAGAGTGAACCAGCTATAATGAATTTGATGTGATATTGAGTGAACAGTGTAATATATTGTAGGTTGATGAGATACTATGTACTGTGAAAGAAGAAATTAAAAGAAGTTTAAGTGTTGTTTTAGAAACTGAAATGAAAAGTGCTTACAATAATATTTGGTAATTGATTTTAATTTATTGCCTCTCAAAGAGTTCACTCAAGTATTCTACCTGTTATTTATTTATTTTTAAGTTTGTTTTAAGTATAGATCTAAGAATGATTAATGATTTGATGATTTATATCCTTGTTTCAGGAAATGTATTGTACTTAGGAAGCCACCTTGGTCTGCTTTAGATATTATGGAGTCAATTCAGAAGTAAGTTTGGAATGTTAATGTACAATATTTATGTTTCATATCTCATGAATAGATTTGAATTTCAATATAATTTGTTTATAAATGTTTAGTAATTTTAGCCTCTATTTTATCTTGTTAATTTTGACTATAAAAAATGAAGTCTTAGAACTACTATAGTGTAATATAAAAATATTTTCCAGACATTGGATTGGTGTATTTGGTTTAGTATTAGACAGACGTAAAAAGACATTAGTAGATGAAATAGTCACTTCACTCCGTTTTAATACAGGTCAGTAAGAATATAAAAATGTACTCTAAACAGGATATAGTTGTTCGTGGTCGACTTGACCCCACCGATGATGTAGAGTGATCTAATAGAATTAAATATTCTCATTTTCATTGTCTTTGTACTTTATAGTATATAATAGTCTAAAACAATTTACTTTCTATACCTGCAGCCATTAATCGCTTTTCTTCATTATTCCAGAAAATTTGAAGCAGTAAATGTAGATTATAAGTATAATGAATTTCTTTATTAGGTCCAAGAAGATTTATAGGATAACCGTTATGATCATCTTTGATTTAGTTCACTGCATATTAGCATCACAATTATTGTAAACATAACTTTAACCCTGTGTCAGTGCCTTATATTGAATAGTAACTGGTTACTCTTCAATCACCCTAATCTCTAAACAGTCTCATAGAATGACAAAAATCAGAGCTAATCAGTTTGTCGCATGCTTGTCCACTTTTGAATTTGCTAAATTTTCTGTGAGCTGGTTTCAGTATAATTTTCTAATCACTGTTTTTAGCATTCTCTGTCTTTATCATCTATGATTAGATGTAGATGTAAGGATATTATAATCTATGTTTCAGTGAGTGATTTAGAAGTTATAAAGATATTAATACAGAATGTTATTGAGTTTATTACTGTTTGTGAAAGGAGAGAAAGGTCTGTAATCAGTAGACTTATAGCACTTTATTCACACATCATCTCCACCTTGACAAGCCTTCTTCTCCAATCCTACTAACACAAACCTAATTATATTATACATTATTTACTCCAGAATTTAATAAGCTATGATACTCAGATAAAGTTAACCTTACCACTTCTCTGAAAAAGGCCGGTTTTAAGCCCATTTCTCGCTGTTTAGTGACAGCACATAGGCCATTCCTTCATTTTCCATCGATATCGCAATTTGATTAAATGTTTCTTAAACAAGGTGTGAATTAAGTCGTTAGAGTTACACACCTCATTGTTAAAGACTATACATTGGCTTCTTGTGCACCTCTGCCCATTTGCATGTCTGCATATCATTAAGAAGTTTTTGTTCATAATGAAAATGGAAGTAAACTTGTACTTTGTTCTTGAAAGTGGTAGTTTGTGTTTGATTGTTGATTAAGATTTATAAAAGTAAAATAAAGAAGGAGAAATGATGTTATTTTCTAGATATAATGGAGTTTTAGAAGAAAGTAAAACTAATCTCAATAAGTTATTGTTAAAATGTCAACCTAAAACTGTCACATTTTTATCACCAGTTAAAGATGAAGCAGAATCTCATGTTCAGTCCCGACCATCACAGGTTAGCAGAAATTAACTAGATTTGAATGTTGTAAACAGTGAATTTGACAAACAACCTCTTGGTGGCTGGTAAAATCAGGTTATCAGTCTGTTTAAATCATAAATAAATTCATACAGTTTTTGTTTCAATTCCAGTCGAATTATAAACCATTTTAAATATAAGAATAGTGAAGTTTTTCAATACTAATCACACCTAACACATAGTGCCTTTGAAGTATATACAAGTTTTGCCTATGTAGCATATTTGGTATTTTGGGCTATTTGAGATAGTGAATTAACCCAATTATTTCGTTCTTCCTTTTATACATTGTGATTGTTTGAAATCTATATAAATGTATGTATTGAATATTTTCAGTCTGAAGAAAGTGAAGATGATTTATTAAACAGTGTACAAGATAGATTTCAAGTTATATGGTCAGCTATACATGATTGTAGGTGAGTCAGAATCATTTTTTGTCTGCGAAAACTAAAACAACATTGTGAGGATTATTTTCCTAAAAAATATTTAACAGAGCTGTTGTTTATAAGATATTTACCATTTATATATTTGAATTCAAGTTATTTATTATTATATATTGATTTACCTTGAAGATTATTTGAGAACTGATGTGTTGTGATTATAATAAAATATTTAATTTCAGTGATAATTTACCTAATCTAGAAAATTCTACCTCAATATTACAATTAATAATACCAGTTATAACAGAATTACGCCATCAATTTGCTTTGTAAGTTAATTTAGTTTCTGTATTGTTTTAAAACATGTTTTGCATGTAGAGTCCTTCTATATTTAAATAAGATAACTGTTTCTTTTTTGATTGTGTCCTATTATCACACAAATCCTTACCAATAATTGATAAAAGATGAAAATCAGTTATTTGTACTGATAACTGACAGATATAATGAAAATCAACAGCAATGAATCTACATGGGAGGTAAATGAAAAGACAAATTTCATATATATGTGGTATGGGAGGCCTAACTGATTTTTGATATTTCATACTATATTATTGTACATAGAATCTAAATTATTTGTTTTGAACATTACAGATGTTTATCTATATCACCAACCAATATATCTTCCCAACGACTTCATTTTGAATCATTTACTCATAGCTTAAATTCATTTTTCTCAAAAATGCAGGCAGATGTAAGTTATCTATTTATTCCCTAAGTATATTGATGTGACATTCAAATATATAGATATAAGGGGGTGAAAGGCTACTTTTGGTAGCACTGACACAGATATCAGAATTTGTCCTATCTTGAGGAGGATTCAAGCCCACACCATCTTATGGTAGGGCAAGCAAAAATCCAACTTGCTGCCAACAAAAAGACAATGTTTCAACCCAGTATTAGGGTATTCATTTACACAGTTCGAAAGTTGTTTTCAGGAGGAATATATATTCATAGCAAGACATGGGCAAGGATAGTTATTAGGGTGCAAAAGGCAACACTGGAAAGACAGCCACAGGCATAAAGAGAATAATTTCTCCCTTGTTTTTTTCTTTCAATGGTCAGTCATTAGATTGTATATTGACAGTCTGTTCACATTTCTTGTAGGCACAATAGAGACTACAGTTTTTATAAGATCTTGGTATGCATGTATATATTCATGAGATCTCGGGCATGTTCGAATTTGGTAACAATCAGTTTATCAATTTTGGAGTTACTGCCCTTCATCTAGTAAAAATGTGTCAAATTTGGCTTGTAGGCACGAAAGAGATTGCAGTTTTCATTCGATCTTGTTGAAAATTCGTATGAATGTATATGTTAATGAAATCTTCATCAAGTTCGAAATTGTTAATAATCGGATGAACAGCTTCAAAGTTACTTCCCTTGGGTATAATTTTGATGAACTGTTTTTAAGATTATTTGAAAATTTGTAATTAAGCCACTAAAGACTTCATTATCATTTCTGACAGCTGGTAGTGGGCATATATTACCTTGCCTGGCAAGCTATCTTACCTAATACTTTCATAGTTTTATTTTTCCTCTCTTTCAGTCACCAAAGCCAATATTGTCTCAAGCTTTAATTGCATTTTTCAGTATTCCTGCCAAAAGGTAGTATTTGGTTTACAGTATTATTAATATGATGTTTGGTTAACTTATACTGGAGCCAATGGCTTTTAAAATAAAAACATTATCAAATGAAATATGAAGAAAACATATATTAATTGTTTGATTTGAAATTTAGTAATTAATAACATACATTTATTTATTTTCAGACAGACACTCGCCTCAGGTTTAGACCAGCTAGATCAAATGATCTGTAAATTCCATGCTTACATTCAAATGATGTAAAGACATTCCAGTCCATTATAATTCAGGGCCTTATCATTATCTAGTCATTGTGTGTATAAAGACTTCTATAGAGAATTAGACACGTTTCTTTGTCATAGTAGTTTCTGAATTTTGTTTACCCACAGTTTAAGGAGTTGTAAATAGGTTTATTAAATATTTTATGTGTAAAGGGGATGCTGATGATTTTCACTGTTCCAATTTTCAATCAGACACTACCACAGCTATCAGTGGCTTGTGATTGTGATATAATGAAAGGGCCACAGATGTCTGACAGAAAATTGGAATGGTGCAAATTGATGATATCAATGTCTCCAATACAAAGAAAAAGTTAAGAAAACTTCTTTACAATCCATTTAATTGGAGGTTAATAGTACTGATAAACGAGATATTAGAAAAGTATGTCTCATTTCCGTTCACTGTTTGCAAGAATATGCCAACATGTACAGTAAACATAAGTAATGTGTTACAGTGTTATAAACACAATTACCACCAGTGTTAGTGTTATTCTGTTAATATTCTGCTAACAGACAAATGTGTAAATATTGGTTCAGTAACACGTGAAGCTGTGATATTATTCTTTGGTCAAGCCGTCCAATTGTCTTTCTTTTAATGTTCATATCTTACTCTTGACTGTATATATAAAGAAACTTCCATATGCAGTTATTTTAATTATATAGTCAAACAGAACAGTGAAGCACACTCTTGACATTTACTGTGAAAATATGTTTTAAGTTTTAACACATTTAGTTGACTAGAAAGATTCAGCAGGATGTAAAACTCCAGTGTATTGAACTATGAACACTGATTGTTTAGTCAGATTGGAATAAAATTAGATTAAATCTATCAGATAAATTGTGTGTTGCAGTTAAAAGATAAATCTGAAAATATGTCATATTATTTTTTCCTCAAGTCTTTTAGAATATTTACAAACCTTTGTTTTCCTATTTATTTGCATTGAATTGAATCACTGAATAAACTTTTAATAAATAATTTGCTTCCCACCTTTTTAAAGTTCATTTTCATTTTCTTGGCACTCAATCTGAATAAAATCATAAAATAGCAATCACCCACCATGGAAGGTATCATTGTAAGAGCAGAATGTTTTTACAGTCAATTATCATCTCTATTTTATATTGAAGGGGTATAGTTGTCTGAAGATTTGTTTAACCAGTTGATATATTAAATACTCCTTTATTTTCCATGATGATAATAAGAGCTTTGAAGCCTTAACTCCATGTACTGTTAAATGAAATTGCTGAACAACCAAACATTAAATGTTATTTCTGGTAAGTGATGAGGCAGGCCGAAATCAAGCTCTTTTGGTTGATTAAACAAATATTTAAGACAGCATTTAAAGCACCTGACAGATTGTAAAATGAATGTAAGTATAATATAAGATGAATGAATGGTTTGTATGTAATGAATGTTATATGTTAAGACTGACAGAGAATTGTTAGTGTGTAAGTTTGTTAAAGTTATTTTTATTGTTAATTTCTTTATACTTCATTCATAGTTTATTTTGTTTTTATATACATAATATCAATATTTGTTTTTTCGAGAAAAGAAATCATGAAAAATATGATTATTAAAATGCTGTAAGTGCCTTTTTAAGATAAAAATGTATAAGATACTGTTATTATTATTGGTTGTGAATTTCATCAATAAACTGATCTATGAATTTACGACATATGAAATATATGAAAAATACAGGACTTTAATTAACTGATTAAAAAGATATAACAAATAAAGGTTCTGATAATAAATAATTGGGTTAATCTCTGAATTAGTTTGGTAAATTAAGAATCCTACTGCTATTAGGAGTCAAATCAAAGGAGTTTTAATGAACGGGCTAAAAATACTTTGGAAAAAAAGAAATCCACAAGTTTATGTCCCAAAATATTCCTCACAAATAATAAATGATGTAATAAATGATTTCATAGTGCTTCCAACAGATATTCTGCTAATTTTAAGTTACAGTACTTCCATATATCAGACTTGAAGTCTTGATCCAGCAAGCTAATATTCTCATCATTAAGTTTAATTGGTTGAGTGTATATTGTTTTCAACCAATTAGGTTCATTAAAGCAAAATTAACTTATTAAGATGGGAATAAATGAGGTTTTGTATTGATATAGTAGAAATAGAAGAAAGCTTATACATACAGGTGGGGATATGTTTGGTTATTGTATCAACAAACCTGTACTATACATAGCACCATACCTCTTTCATTTCCATCTTTATTCTATTGTATTGAATGTGTAATGAAAGGGTTCATAGGCACTATGGTAACATAATGGGGATTCCTATAGTTTTCAATGATAAAATTGGTTTGCTGGATTAAGACTTTAAATTTAGATAATATATCAAAAATCTTTGATATATTTTAATGAAATAGGATCAAACAGAATAAAGTCTAACTTTTGCATATGTATAATTGTCCATATAATCATTTAATTTCTTTATCATTTGACAGGGAAAGAATCCCCTCTTTTATCCAATCATTTCTGTTATTTTTATTGTTCATGTCATATGATGTAAATCCATCATTTAAAACAAAAGGATAATGTTTTATTTATTTTGCTGCAATGGATGATAAATGACATTAACACAGTATTTGATATTTCAATATTTGCTCTGATAGAACACAGTTATCTGAAGTTTCCCAAATATAATGCATAGTCATTCAATTAGTCTAGTAACACTAATAAAAAAACTACTATTAATACTAGGCCTATTTAGCAGCTACACATTACATATGGGAAACTTCAGATACTTGTGGATAGAGGTCAGTCTGTGAATCATTACCACTGGTAGTTATGCAAATAAATTATCTTGAACAATCTCCTATTATCTGATATTTTCTGATTTTCATGGTCAGTGGCGGCTGCAGAACTTTGGAATTAGGGGACCACTGCGAAATCTTTTTGGAATCCATTTTAAAGGATAGAAAGGGGGTCAGATGGTGATGTTCCCAGGAAAATTAAGGAAAAGGTTTAAATCCTCATGAAGGTGCAGGATCTGAGTTTAGCACTAATAGAAAATAGCTCGAGAATAGCCCCAAAATAGCCTCTATTTTAGAAACAGAATAGAAAATTTGAAAAATTATTCTAAAGGGTAATCTTCAAAATATTATTACATTTTGATCATTAAATAATGCATGTTTCTTAAAAAAAAAACTTTCAGAGCCGCCACTGTGAATATTACAGAAGGTTGAATAAGTAGTTTGATGTTTCCAGATTACATGTATTTTAAATTATCATGATACTCTAGCCAACATGCTAATTTTGGCATGTGATTCCCTTGGATTACTCCCAGAACATGTTTGTATAAGAAAAATAGTTCTATAGTTCTTAAATTAAGCAATAAAACATTTCAAAAATATTTGTAAGAAGTTTTTCTTTCCTCATGATGTGTGATTGTAAAAGGACATTACCCTTATAATTAATTATAAAAATTAAATATTAACCACAAAACCTTTATTTCAATGATAATTTATAATGGCAATGTAGTAGGAGAGTCTGGAATTTTAGTGAATGGTCGATTAGCATCTGGGTAATACCCTGGTACATATAACAGTCTTTTAATAGCACCAGGATAGACTTCGTTTAATTTTACAATTTCAATAAGTGGATAATTCCCACCTATACCACACTCTCTACATAAAGTCACACGATAATCTTGAATTGTACCAAGGAAGCCAGTATATCTGTTCGTTCTCAGCTGAGTTACATTAACATTTGGCAAAGATCTGAAGTGTTCTTTCGCCAACTCGTAATCCCCGTACGTATAGAAATTTTCTACTATATATCCACTATCCATATAGGTTTCTCCTTTTACGAATGATCTCAGTACAGATAAGGATCTGGCATAGCTTGGTTCTCTTCTTGGGGTTGGTGTAAGATTCAAACCATTTCGGTAATAGTTTGATAAATTTGATAAAACACGGTTGATTGGGACATCTTCTTCGTCTTCACCTGCTACTGTTGCTATAGGAACTGGATTGCTTCCAGTTTGACCTCCAGCAAGGTTACCAGACTGACGTGTACCAACTGTCTGAATCATATCAAAAGGATCATTATCTACATTAGAAAGGGACGGATCTTGTCCAGTTGGAAATCCCTGTGATGGTCCTTGTCCATTTGTATATCCCTGTGGTGGTCTTTGACCAGTTGGAAATCCTTGTGGTGGTCTTTGACCAGTCGGATATCCCTGTGGTGGCCTTTGTCCAGTTGGAAATCCCTGTGGTGGTCTTTGACCAGTTGGATATCCTTGTGGTGGCCTTTGTCCACTAGGATATCCCTGTGATGACCCTTGTCCAGTTGGAAATCCCTGTGGTGGCCTTTGTTCAGTCGGAAGTCCCTGTGGTGGCCTTTGTCCAGTTGGAAATCCCTGTGGTGGTCTATGACCAGTCGGAAATCCCTGTGGTGGCCTTTGTCCGGTCGGGAAACCTTGTGGTTGCCTTTGTCCACTAGGATATCCTTGTGGTCGCCTTTGTCCACTAGGATATCCCTGTTGTGGCCTTTGTCCACTAGGATATCCTTGTTGTGGTCTTTGTCCAGTCGGGAATCCTTGTGGTTGGCTTTGTCCACTAGGATATCCTTGTGGTGGCATTTGTCCGGTCGGATATCCCTGTGGTGGTCTTTGAGCAGTCGGAAATCTCTGTGGTGGCCTTTGTCCAGTTGGAAATCCCTGTTGTGGTCCTTGACCAGTCGGATATCCTTGTGGTGGCCTTTGTCCAGTCGGGAATCCTTGTGATGGCCCTTGTCCAGTAGGATATCCTTGTGGTGGTCTTTGTCCAGTCGGGTATCCTTGTGGTGGTCTTTGTCCATTCGAGAATCCTTGTGGTGGCCTTTGTCCAGTTGGAAATCCCTGTGGTGGCCTTTGTCCAGTTGGAAATCCCTCTGTTGGTCTTTGTCCAGTCTGAAATTCTTGTGTTGGTCTTTGTCCACTTGGATATCCTTGTGGTGGTCTTTGTCCAATAGGATACCCCTGTGGTGGTCTTTGTCTAGTCGGATATTCTTGTAACCAATTAATAGGCTGTGGGATGTAAGTAGGCCCTGGATAAGACCCTGTTACATTTCTAATGAAAGGAGTTTGTCTATTGGGATAATTATACACTGGTAAGCGCCATGTTGGTGTAGGTATAACACGATTACCCCTCGATGGGTTTCTTCTCCCGAAATTAGTTGAAGGTGGTTGTTGACCTTGAATTCGAGAAGGTTGTCTTCTCGGTGGCTGGCCTGGCTGAAATTGGGGAGGTTGTCCTCTTGGCGACTGTCCTGGTTGAAATTGGGGAGGTTGTCCTCTCGGCGGTTGGCCTGGTTGAAATTGGGAAGGTTGTCCTCTCGGCGACTGTCCTGGTTGAAATTGGGGAGGTTGTCCCCTCGGCGGCTGTCCTGGTTGAAATTGGGGAGGTTGTCCTCTAGGTGGTTGGCCTGGTTGAAATTGGGGAGGTTGACTTCTCGGTGGTTGGCCTGGTTGAAATTGGGGAGGTTGACCTCTCGGTGACTGGCTTGGTTGAAATTGAGAAGGTTGTCCTCTTGGTGGCTGTCCTGGTTGAAATTGGGGAGGTTCTCCTCTCGGTGGCTGGCCTAGTTGAATTTTAGGACGTTGGCCGCTTGCTGGTTGTCCAAGTGGTCCTCTCTCAAGCTGGTACGGTGGAACTTGAAGAGGTTGACCCCTGGGAGGTTGACCCGGTGTAAATGGAGGTGTTCGTGCAGTTGGTGGCAATTCTGGTCTGCTTCCTGGTGGAAGAGATTGAAGAGGAATCAGGCCTTTTAAAGATGGGTCATCTGGTGATTTTGGACCGAAGGCAGTAAACCGAGGATTGATCCCTGGAATAGGTGGAATTTGGCCCGGCAATGTATTGGAAGTTGTATCAGTAGCACTTGAAACATCTCTCTTTGATCTAGATCCTAGCTGGTCTGAATATCTTGGTTGAGGTACCAGAGGAAGTCTATTGAAAGCTGAAAAACCATAATCACTTTCAAAAATTATGTTTTTTTGTATTTTTATAAACTATGAATTTAAGGGGATCAACTGATCTTGAAACCAAACTTCTAAGGTCAATTAAGGCTAAATCAAATTGCCTTAAAATCCTTGACGTTTGATCTCAACAGGTCCAAGATTAAACTCTAATGCCAAAAAATGCCAAAATAGAATTTGGTGGTATTGCATTTCAGAGCTTATGAGATTGAACTTAAATAATCTAATTTTGAAAGAACATTTTATGGTTCTGTTCACCGAGATCAGCAGAATTTAACAGTATTCATTACAATCAATTGTCAAGTAAGATTCTAGAAAGCTTTCCAGAAAATTAAAAAATTTACTTTTTAAACAATTTATTTATGAAAAAAGTGCCATGTTGGTGTAGGTATAACACGATTCAAATAATTTGATACACAAAAAGTTTGACTTCTCTGAAATTGGACTTGGGTTTTTTGGATTTTGTCAATTATTACAACTACTAAGTATTGTTCACAGTATTCCTTCATCTCTTATAGAATATTATAACTTACCTAATGCATTGAGTTCAGATTGTATAACTATAGCATTCTCTAAGGTTCTGGTTTGTACATCAGCTAAGAATCTCAATATATCAGATGTAACTCTAGGTCTGTAATTATTTAGAACCAAAAGTGGTGTTTTGTTGATGGTCCTTGATTCCGCTTGATTACCAGAAGCTGGATTGGCTGTACCTGTAGGTCGTGGTAGTGCTGTCGGTCCATTTGTAGGGTCTTGAGAGAAACACAAACCACAATAAAGCAGTAAGCATAGTAATCCTGCAGCTGTATGATCCTTCATTCTGCCACCTCCAGAGGAACAATGGTTCGACAATAGTTTCATATTAAACACCATTATACAACAATCAAATCATGCAAACTATCTGACTTTAGCGAATGTAGATGAGGTCCTTCACACACCAATATCTACTTGAAATTGTCTTTCTTGACGGTGAACTGCGTGCCATGATATGGGCGAGGACTGAAGTTGGACACTTGAAGACCAAAATAAATTTCTCGTTAGCGGTAAGCGAGGGGTTAATCTGGAGATACTTGAAACATTGTTGAATAGTGTCAAGTTCTGTAGACTTTGTTTGAATTTTATTTAATTAACGTAGATTTTACCTCCATTACCTCTTGGTAAATAATCTAGTATTTGTTTTACACCAATCAAAGATGTCGCGCTTAAAACATTAAATAAAATAATACCAAGATAAAAACAATTAAAATGGGATGCATCAAAAGTCCAATAAGATTTCAAGTAATTGGATAGAGAGAAGTTGGGAGATCATTGGTAATTCAATAAGTTACTGTATTGTCACCCATGAAAAAAGATAACCATCCAACTAAAAAGGTATATTAAAACAAAGATACAAAGAAAATTCTGCTTTGGCAATGGAGAAAGCCACCATACTCATATATTGCAAAATTGCATGGCCCTTGCGTTCCTCTGTAATGCACCTATAGTCAATCAGATGCTTCTATTATTGTCAGAGGAAACCGATCCACAACATTTCATTTGTGGAATCAAACCTTTGGACCTACTTATGAGTGGTTTCAATACCGTAAGATATCTTTGCAGTCTTTCCCTTTTGTACTAAGGAAATAACTGATGATTCAGAGTCAGATTTAAAACAATGGTCATTAAAACTAAGTGACCTGAGGTCAATATTGACCATTCTCTCTTCTGCTCTTCAACGATCGTTTGATTAGTCGTATTAACCCCTAATACACCTTACTCAAATTGACCTAATGTAGATCATCTTACATAAATTACCCTCTATCTTCAACACTTTCAATAATTCATAGACGCGATTACCATGCCAAATGAAATGGCATATCAGAAGCGCAAATGTCCGGACAACCGAGTCTCCTGATACAAATTCCATTGGAACCCTTGATCGAAACGACATTTACTAAGTGTAATTATTCCCTTGTTTTGCTCCCTCTTCTTAGATCCTTATAGTCTTGACTAAATAGTCTTTAGAGAGAGAATCAACAAGTTGCCATGTAACGTTATGTTACCGATTATTGACATCATGTCACTACTTCAATTCTAATGATCAACTTTTACACATTATAAATACTGGTATGGACGGTCACTTGGCATCACTTCGCTTTATTCTGAACGGTGATCGAATCTGAACTGAACAAAGATGAGGTGTTTTTTACCAGTTGTCGTTCTCCTATCGTTAGGTCTGGTCCTAGCTGAAGATTTCACCAGCGACTTCGTAAAAAATGCTTTCAGTGAAATATGTCAGTTTCTAGAAAATGATGACTTCAGATCACTTTACGGTATGTTGATATAATCTTCTTTTAATAATTCATATTTGATTCACTACTTTATTTACTACATTATTATTTGAAGGTAAAACTAATAGCTTGCTTAACCGTTTAAGAGCAATCTATTTCAGCAACCAATGGAGAAGCATTAATAATCCTGCATCTGCTAAGTTTAAAGTATATATAAATTGTTATGCACTTTAAGTTCTTGTCAAAACACATGAGGAATTATTGGATATTTACATTGTATTGTCACCAAAAATAATGGTGCAGTCGTTTCAATATTCAGTACTGGAGTAAGTGAAAGAAAACAAAAACATGAAAAAATCACTTTGACTAATCTCTTTGTGACAGGTTTTGTTCTTCTACAGACAAGTCTAGGTCAGCTGTAAGACATGTACTAAAACAGAACTTTGAACTTGAATTAAACTTAAAGTGTGAAAATTAAACAAACAATTGTATTTTATTTGTGGTTGCTTAAAAGAACTGGCGTGTGTCTACTATTCGAAAACCTTTTATACCATTATCAAAACGAAATCATCGACGATAGGCTACCATCAGGAGCATCAGACTTCTTGATAAACTAAAGGCCAACTGGGTTATGGATATTTTTGGTTTGTTTTGATGCGAGACAATTAATGATATCAGAATACAAGCAAGCATAAAATAAAACAATACGCTCGAGGAAATAATATGTATCAACTTTATACGAACTCATCATCCTCGTTGTTTGGAGTAAGAAAAAAATAGAATCTAAAGTATGTGTAAATCTATACTCCTTGGCCTGAACCCATACAACATATTTCTGATCGATATTTATTCCATCATTTATATTGCAGTTGCTGGTCCCGATGGCGCTGCTCGCAAGAGACGCTCAGCTGGTGGTTTCGGTGGATTTGGCGGCTTTGGTGGTTATGGGGGAAATAATTATGTTGGTAACTATCTAAATACAGATCGTGTTGGACATGGTTTCCATGATAATAACGGTTATGGTCGTCCTAACGTCAACTTCATTCAATCATTTCACCCAGGAAAAGTTCAGATTGAAAAGAATCACATCGTCCACAACTATTACAAACAAGGCAATTACCAGAAGGCTCTGCAATATTTCTATGCTATCCCATTGGTAAAGGTCGCTTCCGTAAATAATGGTATGCAGGGTCACTTTCAGAGAAGAAAAAGTTACACCGTCACCGTCTGCCAAAAATGTCACCAAGGCCGACCACAAATCGAAGTCCGATGCAATACCAAACCATACAACTATTTAGTTAGACGTTTTGTGTTTCAACCACAAATCAATAACGTTAATTACAACCAATACAATCAGTACAGCTTACAAGAACATCCCAACTACAACCAACACCCTAGTTATGATGTAGGACATCCTGGTTACAACCTTGGTTATGATGGTGGTTATTTCACGGGCGATTCTGGATTTAGAGGTTATTATGCCAATAATAACCAAGTAAACCAAGCTAATTTCGCTCCTAACCATTAAAATAAAGAAGAATGGCGACTATGTAGATAATATATAAGGGACACACTAATGACATGTAATAAGTTGAGAATAAAATTCACTAATAAATATTCCATTGTTTTATATCATATAACCCTATGTCCCACGGACCCCTCAACTAGGCAGAATTTATGAGATTCAACACCAAATTGATATTCTAGCCATACAAAATAATACCCCAATTGACAAATCTTAATGTGCTAAATATTGTGTCTTGTGTAGCAGATATAGTGCTTTGCACAATGACAGTTTATGTTGTCAGAATTGACAAAAACCTGTGCTGTAGGCAAATGATGCTCTTGACTGTGAAATGCGACTGGATAGAAACCGGTTAGTAGGCTTCTATGAAGCATGAGGTAGGCGTATATATACATGTCATATATTTGCTGATTTTTAATGCAGAAACATTGATGCACAAAAAAATATTCAGAATGTAATAAATTGTAATCTTCAAAGAACCTGCCCTTCGTATAGCCCGATAATTCTGGTCCTATCTGAGTACTTTCACATTTTATGAGAATTGCTTCGATCTATTTTTGAATCGCAATATTTTGACAAAACATCGTTGGGGTCAAGCTGTCGACATAGCTGATGATTTTTTTTTTACAATTCAAGGGAGGTAAGCTAAATTTTTTAATCTGGAAAAAGCAGGCAATAAGACAATGAATAAAGGATATTATAACAATATTATGAAAGGCTATATTACATTGTGAAGTATAGTTAAAAGTGAAAATATCCATAAAAATCTTTTTTAAAAAAGTTGTTTTAATTTTAGGGCATAAATGTGTAAAGATGTATTTTTGATATCATGATTAATAAGCAAAATAATGTTGCAAAACAAACTGTTTTCGTGTTATTCCTGCAATTATGGCAATGCTCTGCAGACTTAGAAAATTACATTAAAAAACAATATTCTGATATTCCGAAAACTGCCTTAATGTACATGCACAGTGCTTTGTAGCTTTCAGCAATCAGCATCCATGTTAGATATTTTGAGGTATGGATTAAACTGGAACGGATGTCTCTGAAAATATTGCCCATTGCAATTCATCCATTTCACTTACAGGAATTTTGGGTATCTTTGTGTTGAACAAATATTGTCTGATGATACGGTAGTCATATTTTGTTTGGTTATATGCTGGCCAGACTTTGCAGCTTTAACAAACCATTAAAGTGAATGATTTAACATTAGACATGTGATGTCAGGTCAAAATGTGAAATATAGGTTACGAGAATAGAGACAGATGTAATGGTATCATGTTTTCTGAAGAAATAATTAGTTCATTAGCTATATAATTTAATGACCAATCTTTTCACTGTAGGTAGGCAAGAAACGTATAATTAATATGAGAAAGCAATAATAATCACGATATTAAAATTTTAACACTTTATATTGAAGCATGGTTTCACACATAATCAACGGGCTGTTGATTTGAATGTTGCTACCAGGTCAAGCGTAAATAATATAGTTAATCCAACGATTAAGCCCCGAAACCCGTAAAGCCGTCACAACAAACCGAAAGTAGACCTGCCACGTGCTACTTGGGGTGAAAGGTTGAAGGTTAGAGTTGACAGCCTCGTCTTCATATCAGTTAATGTTTATTTCTAGACAAGCTGTAACCTCCGATGAATATTTGATAAAATTCACTGTAAATCTTTAAAGAAGTCTTAACTTTTAGGATATTTAGTTGGAAGTGAACTAGAGAAGTAATGTATTGAAGTTTTTAGTTATTGAAGGGCAGAAATTTCCAGAAAAGGACGGAATTTCTTGAAAAGAATCTCTTTATAATGCCGTATTAAACTACATCCGTGTCAAAGTTCACGATAGAATTTTAACAGCTGACTTTCTGTTGTCATTTACAAATCTTGTCACTTCATTCCAAATATTGTTTGGTAATGACCACTTCGTAAAGGTTTTGTTACAAGAAGACCATTGTTTGATATAAAATTTGATTATGGATCAGACTGTTTTAATGGAAAGGCTGATGGAAGTGAGATCTAAGTTTGAGAGAGCTTGTCAACAAATAGCTTTGTTGGATCAAAAAATCAGAGACTTGGAAGTAAGATATAAAAGGGCTGTGAAGCACAAGAAAAATTCTTTTCGTTATAATTTAAGACTTAGACTATCTGTGGTAACAGGTGTTAAAATGATGTATCACCATTATGCCAGTACAAAAGCAGAGGAATTATCAAAATTACGCAGGCAACAGACAGAACAACATCCTGAAGTGTCAGTTTTAACTTAAAAACTGTTACATTGTTAATGAGACTTTGTGTTATTTTGGACTAAAAGGTGATTTGTACAGATATTATTTGTTTGGGCTATGTTCCATTAATATTCTACATGTACCTTGCTGGATAGTCATTGTTGTTTTCAACCAAAGATTTTGTTTCATTTTATCTAAGAGTATTCAACAAGGTACAGGTTAAGAGGTATTTAAAGGGATTGTGAAGAGGTATTCTAAATTCTTTATATGTATTCTTGCAGTTCCACCTAAATTATTAAAGGCCTTATGAGATAAAGCATATTTTGTGATTAGTGAACTCATCAACACTTTTCTGTTCGATAATTGGAATGATGCAAATTGATGTTATCAGTGTCCCCAATACACATTTTAGAAAACCTCTTGACTATCCTTTAATGGAACATAGTGATGTTTGTTGTTGAAATATGTTCAGTTGATGAATGAAAGTTGTTGACTTGTTATATTTAAGTAATAATCCTGTAAGTATTAATTTAATTTGTTTGACTTCCTATATTTTTTTTCTTCATGTAGTAAGTGTTATTAATTTAACTGTTAAAGTCTTACTTTTCTATTTTATTTTGCTAAGCTTATTCCAGCTTATAAGGCTTAGCCAAGCATGACAAGAATCTTCTGGTATCTAGACAGAATAGATGAATTCTTCATTCTATGATGTGGTAATGCTGAGAAAGTTTGAGGCCCTCACCTTTAAGTTATTGTTGTTTGTTCGTTTTTATTTCATAGAATTCAAATTACTAAATGTTTTTGAGGCTGATCTTTAGCATTGTAAAACTTATTTCCACTGGATGAATGGTTAATTTATATTTCACTTAAAATGGTCAGAACTTTCTTATAATAACAAGACAAAACTTTGCTTCCATTTTTTATTGGTCTACTTCAAGTCTATAAATAAATTTGTCATTGGTATGCCTATGATATTTTCTGTAAGATAATCAAATTTTGATAATATTAGGACCAGAAGTATGTTAAGAATAAGATTGAGCTAGCCAGTCAAAGAGTGTTAGGCTGATCTGATTATATCGTAATTTGGAAACATTTTTTTGGAAAATGACTGGGCCTAAATGTAATTATATGATATTGTATGTTATAAACTGTTAGTTGTTATCTTTTTACATCTTATTGGATATTGTTATTAAAAAAAAACAGTCCTCAGTTACAAAAGGACCTTTTAGATTGACTTTGTTGATGATATTGTAGTTTTAAAATAATATATTGCGGATCTGAAATATATCTTAGGAAGTCACATTCCTGTTAAATAAATTTCTCATCTTTACTATAAAAATATAGATATAAAATAGATCATAGGGCTGAACATTGCCTTTAATTTAACTTTGATTGTTACAACTGGTATATCATGGCCAGGACTTGATAAGGGCCGCAGTTGGAAGTGATCACAGAAAATTTCAATTCAACATTTAACATGTAACTATTAAATCTTCTACAGTGTTTTCATAAAAGTAATTTAATTGTATTGTGGGAGTTTGGTTGGTGTTCTTTTCTACTAATATGTTACAACCCCTGATGATATAACCACTGTCTGGCTGTGTTTGTCTATATCAGATTTAACTATTTCTATTTAATCTATCATACATCTGTCATATAACTAATTATATAATAGGCATTTACATAATCTATATTATTAATCAACAGTCAGCTGGTTTTAACCCAGACAGAAAGCTTATAACAGTTGAAATCATGTCTAATTCTAGTATTTATATAGACCTTAGATACAATAACATCTTTACCGAAACACCAGAGCCAAGCTGATTTGTGAAATGGCAGATTAGTAAAAAAAAAGAAGTATGACTTAGTCCTGTCTCCCAGTGCCGAGTAATATTGATTTTTATGAAAAGATGTAATTAAAAGATCTAAATAGAAAGAGTAATCAATATACAAACTTCATTTGCTTACAGTCCGTTTTCTCATGCTTATTTTAAAAACATTGAAGTCATGTCCTGTACTATATCTTTTATTAGGGGATTTTAAAATTTTATATACTTTTTTGACAATCATTACACAAAATAATAAAAACATCAGAAGAAAGATTTCATTAAAGGATTCACAAATATTCATGATAGCTTTGACCTATGATCATCACTTGACCATTTAACATTTGAAGTTCATACATGATGAAAACAATGGCAATTAATACAACTATTAATATGTATATTTTTTATTATTATTACAGTTTGTTATTTCTTGGAAATGTTCCTGATATTAGCTGTATATGCTATATATATCTGTTTACTGATCTACAATTTATTAGAACTTTATACTCACAGATAAACTATTTAGATTTATAACTGTTATTGTTAATATTCTAAAGTATAAGATTATGATATTAACAATTGTTGTACAATGTTTGATAATATTCTGTTAATCTTCTTCTGTTGTAACTAATATAGTCATGAATACATATATTAATTATAAGATACACAATGCAACATTATCTGTTGAATTCATCTAAATATTTCTCAATTTGAGCTATTATGTTTTTAAGCAGAATGTTTTATGTAATTGTAAAAGCCTACATACATGATATCAGGTAGTGATACATTGAGCAGGTAAAGCATTAATTTCATGACATGTCATAATTTCTAAAATGTCAGAAATGTTCTTTCAAGTTGACTTAATATGTAGTAAAATTTTCAGAGACCTATCAAGAAACAATTTGTGTGAGATATATAAATAAAAAACTAGGCTTTAAGAAAAATGGTTTATATATTTGAAAGTTAAAAGATATAGTGAAATGTTAATAAAGTAATGGTATCTAAGGGAATAGTGACATGTTTCCAAACAGAATTTCTAATGATAAATTGCCATAATAATTTTGTTACTTGTATTGTGAATATTTCAATGAGAATATTGAATAAATGTTGAATTTCTTATTTCATATATATCTTTAGTATTTGCCAACCCATTTCTGGAGCTGTGGTGGTTTAAGAATGGTTCATTCTTGTCTATGTCTAGCTGAGGATTCCTTCAGATGTTTTCAAACGTCTTTGATGCAACGTAAAGGAGCTAACATTTGGATTGGACAATACATTGAGGCCCTGTGTGCTACATGATCTGTAGATTCAAATTCCTTGACAGTTGGTAATGGCTAAATAGAAAGGCTTATGCTTCTGTCCTAACAGCACACTTGTCCACATAGATTAGGCAGATCAGATGTAATTATTTTTTATTCAGCCAATTCAATTAAGAACTGATTGAAGAATTTATTAGAAATATTCTAATCAATTATTTTAAAATATTGACAAATTTCAACATTGTAATTGCAATAATATGTGTGTTTTGTACTCACATACATTATTACAGATTTTCCAGTACAAAGCTGTAAAAAAACTTTCAATAAATATATTGAACATACTCACAAAATTACAAAATATGGCATTTAAATCACTAGAAATGAAAAACTGATGAAAAGCCTACAGAAATATCTATATTTACATGGATTACTATTACTGTAAATGTAAGTTACTATATAGAAGTGTAAGGTAGGTAGTGATTACTGAACTTGCCTGTAGACCTAATGACATGAAATCTACCCTTATCTAAGTTCAATGAAAGTTAACTTGATTTAGCATAATACTTAGATGTAACAAATTTTATCATATAGATTTTTAAATCTTTCACTAATACTTTTATTTAGAAACTTTCACAATACTATTGCACTTTATAAAATATTTTCATATACACCATCTCTCTCCAGGCACACATTGGAAGGTTATAAGTTATCACAGTATTGAATAAGGTTTCTCATATTTTCTATAGCTCTGATTCATCATGAGATGAAGATGGACCAGAGTTTTGATAAAGTTTAGTAATAATTGGTTGAACAACATTGTCAAATTCTTGTTTTTGCAGTTTGAGATCATCTATTTTTGCTGATGGATTGTCTTCCAACCATTTTGTTTTTGCGTTAATGACTTCCTGTATAGATTCTTTATCCTCTTTGCTCAGTTTGGATTCATTGTCATTAATTTGATTTAACATACTATACACAGAGTTTTCTAAATCATTTCTAATGTCAATTTTTTCTTTAAATTGTCTGTCATCTTCTGAATATTTTTCAGCTTCTTGTAATATTTTCTCTATTTCTTCACCAGACAAATGATTTTCACTAACTCTGATGTTATTTTTCTGTCCTGTTCCCTTGTCTTCTGCAGTCACTTTGAGAATACCATTGACATCAATTTCAAATGTTACTTCAATTTGAGGTATACCACGAGGAGCAGCAGGAATCCCAGTCAGGTCAAATTTACCCAAAAAATGATTATCTTTAGACATGGCTCTTTCACCTTCAAATATTTGTATAGAGACCACAGGTTGGTTGTCAGCTGCCGTGGAAAAGATCTGAGATTTCCTAGTAGGTATAGGTGTATTTCTCTTGATTAAAGTTGTCAATACACCTCCCATTGTTTCAATACCAAGAGTTAAAGGATTGACATCTAATATTACATAACCATCACCTACATCCTGATCTCCAGATAAAGCAGCTGCCTGTACAGCAGCACCATAAGCTACAGCTTCATCAGGATTGACACCACGATTTGGTTCCTGAAAGTAAAGAATTGTTTATTTAAAAGAAAACTTAGAGTGAAATCATATCAGACAACAGCTCCTATAATAGTTAACAATAAAGGTCATATCCAACATACAAGATGTAATAATTAATGTCACTCCAATATGTTTGGGTCAGCATCCTAATGTCACTTTGCAACTGTACTTATGAACTTTAAGCTCACTTGAAAAAGAATAGATTCTTACCTTGCCATTAAAATATTCTTTAACTAACTGTTGTATTTTAGGTATTCTAGTTGATCCTCCAACTAATATAATATCTTCTATATCATCTACTGTTAATTCTGCATCTTTGAGTGCCATCTTAACTGGTTTTAATGTGGAACGGAATAATTCCTGATAATAAAAGACCAGTGAATTACTACACTGAAGAAAGGGTTGGCAGTATTGAAATGTTTTGCTTTTGAGAGGACAATGTTAATTAAGGCTATTAATTATGTAGGAAGAAGCAAAAATGAGATGATTTGGTTGTAGAAGCAATTGAAAATTATTGTTGGCCAAATTATAACATTAATATTGTAGTAATTCTTACCATATTCAATTCTTCAAATTTAGCTCTAGACAACGGTTCTGAAATATCCTGTCCATCAAATAAAGATTCAATTTCAATTCTAGCTTGATGTTGGGATGATAAAGTTCTCTTGGCTTTTTCTACTTCTCTTCGTAATTTCTGTACAGCCTGTACATTATTTCTTATATCTTTACCATATTTCTTTTTAATCAATTTCAAGAAATGGTCCATTACCATCTGATCAAAATCTTCTCCACCTAAATAGACAAAACATTCATGATAATAATTTACACTGTAACATAAAAGTGAATTGGGGCAATAATGTAAAACTAGAAAACCTGCCCCGCTTCCATTTGTATATTTGAATAGAATTACTTTCACAAAGTGATATGCCTTCCCTTCTGTTACCTTTTTATATGACACATCTTGTTCAGCAGAAATCAACAAAATCGAAGAGAAACTTCTTACTAGTTCTAACTTACCTAAATGTGTATCACCATTTGTTGATAAAACCTCAAAGACTTGATGATCTAATGTCAATGCTGACACATCAAATGTTCCCCCTCCTAGATCATACACCAATACATTAAAATCTCTATCTTTCTTATGTAAACCATACGCTATAGATGCGGCTGTACTGTAACAAAACAGAAAAGTATATTTATGAAGTACATGTACATCAGTAACATTTGACAACTCTCTGCTCAATTCGGTTTTACAAAATAAATTAAAAATAATCAATGATTTTGAGTCAACACATAGGTACATTTTGAAGTTTGAAAAAAATCCCCATCAAAGTCACCCAGGAGAATGATATGGTTTTTTGACTAGAGGACTGAAGATGAAAAGTTGAGTTTATTACTTAACAAAATTTGAATGGATGAACATTTGAATTGGAAGACAGATACCAGCATGTATATTAATACAAACTTACGGCTCATTGACTATTCTAAGTATCTCCAAACCAGCAATTTTACCAGCATCTTTAGTAGCTTGACGTTGAGCATCATTGAAATAAGCTGGTACAGTAACAACTGCTTTGGTGATATTCTTTCCTACATACTGCTCAGCAATAGTCTTCATTTTCCCCAGAACCATGGCAGAAATTTCTTCTGGAGTGAAAAGCCTTTTTTCACCTTTTATAGTCACTTCAATATGTGGTTTATTGTTTTTGTTGATTATTTTAAAGGGATAGTAGTTTTTATCTTTTTGAACTGAAGGATCATCCCAGTTTCTACCAATTAATCGTTTAACATCAAAGATGGTATTTTCTGGATTCGATGTCAGTTGATTTTTAGCAGCATCACCAATCAATCTTTCACCTTCTTCAGTAAAAGCAACATAAGATGGTGTAATTCTGTTACCCTGATCATTAGCAATAATTTCAACTTGGCCTTTAGTAAATATGCCAACACTGAAAATAGAATGGTTTAATTACTAGAAACTTATGTGACAAATTTGATGTTGAAATGACAAGTTTATAGCAGACAGTTTCAAGAAATATAAAACCATCAGGAATTGTAGTGTTATCTACTAGGCTATTACATAATATATAAATCAATCATACCATGAATAAGTTGTGCCTAAATCAATTCCAATAACAGGTGCTTCATCTTCTTTATTTGTTTGTTTAACAGCTGATGTTGTTGTTATAAACAATAAACAACTTATTATCAGTATCATCTTGACTTTATTATATTTCTTTCTGGTCATGTTTTCTGTCCTCTCTACTGTGTTTTATTTTGTAAAATTCTTGATTGACTTTTTATAATATCAATCAACTGTAGTAGGCTTTATAGTAACTTTTTGTCTTTACTGAAATGAAAACGTATTCAACATTGAACGCATTCGTATAAGAATAAGGATGATCGGTCATACTCTCCATCATTCATTTTTACCGGTTTTCCCCGTGAACTGTCATTCTTTGGCCATGTGCATTTGTTTACAAATATTACGTCACGTGTAAACAGTACTTTGGCATTTGCGTTTTATTATGTTAAAATTGATTCTGAAATTCTTTAAATAACTTTCTAAAATATTCATATTTTATTATCTTTCGCTCCGATTAATGTTTTTGAAATATGAACGGGAATCTTTAACCTATATTTTAACCAATCAAAGTCTGTTTTTTTAACTGACGTCACATCAAAACAATAACAAAGCCATGTGCTCACCTGTCAGATAGATGGCTTCGAACTATGAAATGATTTTCCGTAGATATTTTGTGGATTTATTCGTCCTATTCCGTAGCTTATGAGTCTTTTCTAAAGATTCCTTTATTTTAGTGAACATGATTTCTTAGGCTGTAAACTATGGTTTATAAAATAGTTCAGAATTCGTGTTGAAATCTGATTAGCTGAGTTAATGATTAGGCACGATTTGATTGGTCTAAAAGTATACGTAGCAGAAGGATTTTCTGATGAAATTTGCAGGATAAATAAGTTCATTGTTGAAGTGAACAACGCAAATTTAGATTGTTACCCTCTGGTCTCAAACATAATGATGCAATGATTTGAAATAAGGAAAAGTCCAATAATGATTTCTATGAGTCTATGGCCAGAATTTAAAAGAAGTTCCCATTTCAGGAAAAAAGCTCTAACCTTATTAAGACACAAGTGTCCATGGGAACTTATGGCTAATGGACGAGTGATAAGTAGGTGTAGTTAAATGCAAAATCCAGTTCACCTCTGATAGTGATATACCGAATAGTGCTTAACTTGTTATGGGAGAGAAAAAAAACATCACATTCAATGTCAAGAATAATGCTGTTCTCTATATGAAAGGTTTTTAAATCAAAATTAATATGCATTGCTTCAATAAAGACAAGTTTAAAAATAATAAAAGTTTATTAAATAAATAGTGGAATGTAAAAAGATATGTTGTGTATGATACATGTAACAATTGACTCTATCAATAAAGTTATAAATAAATAATTATATGCTCTACTGCTGTAGCTAAACAAGCTTTAACTATTGATATCACTAGGCTCACAAGAGAATAATATAATATGTTTTTTTTATGTTAACTTTTTTACACTATTCTGGTGACTTTAATTAATGCAAAGGGTTGACACCCAAAAATTCTAATCTACCTCTAAACAAATTGCCATCAGTGTTAAGAATACATTTTTTTGTACAAAAAGTTCATTTTCTAATCCTGCTTATAGGGATTTTAACTGGTTATGTATATACAATACTTTTGGGAATATTCCAAATGCACCTTTCAATTTTCTACAATTAAGAAAATAAAAAGAAATTTGTTATAATCTTAAATGATTATGAAAGTCGTTGTTTATCTTTAAAGCTTGAAATTCTCAATATACATTATGGCACACATCTGATATGTTATATTAAATAATAGTATTCTCCATTTTTTGCAACTTAACTAAGAGCATTATAAATAAAAATATTTGCATATTTAAAATAACTCACACAAATTTCATTTAATCGCAGTCGTATAAGCAACATACTTTTTTGTTCCAGGTATTATGTAAAATTCTATACCATTGTTTATAATTACTCGCCCAATGCTTATCATAGCTTTAACTAATTTCTGGTGTTCATTTTAGTCATGTATAATTAATCGTAATGAAGGGTTATTAATTAAGTTATATATCTAAAATGTTTATAACTTATATATATATATATATATATATATACACGACAAACCCTATCACAGGTTTTGAATACTGAAATAATATATCTAAATACTGAAATGAAACATTTTACATGAGAAATCTCAGTAACATAGTCATAATACTGAATGCTCATGAATATTCATTCAATAATGAGACATAGATAGTATAAATAAACATAAAAACATATATTTAAATACTTATCAATTTGAATTACAAAATAAAACTTTAATTAGTCAAATCATAATTTTCAATGTCATTTTAACATAATTTTCAGACAATTTCAAGAAATGAAAAGTATAGATTTGTGCTTTAAATAAAGATAATTAATCATTTGATTTGATGATAAATAAGACCATTTTTCTCAAGCAGTATTGGTATGTATCAACCTATTTTTTGAGGACATAAAAAAATATACAAAAATACTGATTGATTCTTCATATAACAAAAAATTTCATAAATAAATAACAATATATTAATAAATAATAGTTTAGTGGACCATCAAAATATATACGGATGATATCATTCAATTTAATAGTCAACGCTATAAATATAAATATTCATTTTTGGAATGAAAAAAGTTAAATTAATTAGTTAAGCAGTATATGTTATCAAACTACTAATTTCCAGGAATCCCCTCATTAGTCATAGTCAGTAAATAAATGTTCGAGTAATAATGACATTGTGGTGCAAAAATATATTGCAGTGGAAAATTCAGCCAAATCAACAGTCTTATATTGCACTCTTTTGATAAAATTTTAACTATAAAATTAAACATTAGCTAAGACTTTCTGAATTATACTATTAATAACTTTCAGTATTAAAATACTGACTACTATTTTGATCTATAAAGATGTTTAATTTATTCAAGCAGCCTACTAAAATAAGCCTTCATAAAAGATACACCTATTTAAAAGAGTCTATTGACAGTAATATTTACATTATGACTATACCAGTCAACACACAACAAGATATCAGTAAGTTAAGTACCAGTAAAACACAGTATAGTATAAGTTGCATTGATAAATTTTTAAAGCTCTGTAAATATTTGATGATATTCTAGCTATTATTATACCCTAGGTCTTTAGAGACCATTGATGAACAATTATTTGTTGATCCTATGCAGGTTTCCATTGATTGGTGAGGATCATTATGCTGGTACCAGAAATGTTCTGATTGACATAATTCCAATGAAATGAAACTTGTGAATTAGTGAAATGAGAGTGTCTTGTTCAGGAAATTTAAAATTGACATTCAACTCTGCATATCACATCATTCTGTTTATTCAACTATCATTCTATAAATTCATCTTTTACAATTCATGAGACATTAGATCATAATACTGTTCTTTCATTGTAAATTACTACAGAATCATTATTAACTAATGATTCAGTATCATTACTAGAAATACTTAATGAACTATTTTTTAATCTAGCAATAGCTGCTGCACTTCCACTTTTCATTCGATTCTTCTTTAACTTATCACCCATCTTAAAATATAAAATTATAACAATGAATTTACAGCCATGTAATTAATATCTTCAATAACTTTCATAAAAAGATTCCCATTTTTCAGCCAATCAACCAGAGAGTTGTGACTCACACAAATTTAGAAATAGGTAAGGGCATAAAATATGAATTCAGATATAAAACAAGTTATGTACCTTTGCATATAATTCCTCTGAGGACATAATAGGTGATGAATGAGGACGAGGTAATGTAGCAGCAAATACTTCATCTTCTAAATAGTTAGGATTATCCAGACCTAAAATACATTATAAATAAAATATAGTTCCTTAAATCCTACTATAGACATTAGTGCTTCATGTTCCAATGGTTTACAAAAGTCAGAATCAGTATGATCTTTAAGTGCTTTTGCATGTGATTGCAAGTATATCAAATTTCATATCCGTTGACAATCAATTTCATTCAATAGTTTCATGTTAAGGCAATGAAAAAGAGAATGGAGCTCCTAATTTATATTTCTTGATTAAAAGACTATAATTACTGAATTGGTGAAATTTCTAGCTGATCTTGTTCCCTGTAACAAATTATCATTATCATACCTGTAGTGGTTGATTCATGCAAACTAACAGTTCTAGTCAGCTGATTAGGTGATTTATTATTTACTATATTACTGTCTGTTTCATTCACTACACCAGTTATCTAAAAACATAGTAATCCAACATTTATTCAAATGAATCCTGTAATTTGCCTTAGAAATAGATTAATATGAAAAAGATATATTAATACATAACTAATGCTGTTTTTGGTATGATTATTGAGATTGTGGTATCATTATTTTATAATAAAGATATATTGTGATATACCTGGTATTGATATTGGTATGATTGTTGTGAATGTGGTAAAACATTGCTACTATAGCTAGATGACTGCTGTGGATCATAACTTTCTCTTGTTTGTGTGTTGACTGTTGGATTAATACTGTCATCTCTGGAAAATTATTTCATATAGAAGTATTACCAGAAAAACTTTGGCAAAATTAAATAAACCCTCAATGTAGTTTTTCATATATTGTCATATTCAGTAAAACATACCAAAGATCATGCCTGAATTTGTATAAAAAATGCTGCACAATAAAGTCAAAGTTTATATATGTGAATGTATTATTGCATAATTTCAATAAATAATACTAGTACCTTTCAGTTAAAGATGAAAATCTTTTTGATTTAAAGCTTGATGTAATTACTGAAAAAAATAAATAAACGATGAAATTGAGACATTGAGGCTATATTGATGCTCATGAGTATAATATACAATGGTAAATATAAATATGGAAAGTAAAACTAAGAATTCATTATACATGTATGTTGATGAGATATGATGAAATATAATTTTTAAAAACATCCATTCGATCTAAAAATAAAATGTGTTGGCAAAAAAATACAAAAACCTGACCAAATGAACCGAGAACGAATCTCAAATGACAACAGATAAGAAAAACATCGATAATTAAACAACAAAACTCAACAGTGTAAACTTTACTAAGGAATATGGAATCAAAAATGCGTTGTTTTGGAAATACAACCAAGCAGCGATGGACCAATTTTACAAAACCAATAATCTGGCCATTTATGAATCAAATTACTATATAATGATTCCATCTAACCTGAGAGTACTTTTTTGTTCAAGATGCAAAATGGCTGTCATTCAAATAAGTAATTAAA